AGGGGGGCCGCGACCTTTGTTCTCCCCGGCGCGGCCGTGTCCACTCCCGGCCCGCGAGGAGCGGCGGCGAGCGGGCGCCCGGCGATGCCCCCAGCTCCGTGCGCAGTGAGCTCGCGTCTCCCGCAGCCCCAGCCCGTACCCGGGCAAGCGCGAGGTCCCCATAACGGCCCTTTTCCAAAACTGCCCCCGTGACCAGTCCTCGCATCGCCGAAGTGCAGAAAATCAGAGCCCAGTACGTAAGTGCCTACCTGGTAGGGTTGTCGTCAGCGTTCAATGAGTGGCACGTGCACACCTTTCTCCACCGCGCCTGGCACTTAGTTGCCGTTTGTTTTGAATAGCATTACTATTTGTAGCATTTTATGGATTGCCCAGTTTGGTATACTTTTGGTGAACATCTGTGCTGGGCCCTGAGGAGAGTTCAGACAGGGTTAGGCTGGTAAAAACCTTCCCTCCCTCCCTGTCTACATTTGAGCTTTTCTTGGCAGTCAGTTCAGGAGCAATCAAGCAGAACCCGGTGCAAACTTATCCTCCGTCTCAAACACACAGAGGCTTACTCAGATACTCTATCAACATTTGAATTGTAACTGGAAGCATACTTCTATGATGTATCTGTGCGTATATGCACGATATAGTCAACATTTAGTGAGGCTTTTTGTGGTACTCAAACTCAAACCCAGGGGCACTTGGCCACTGAACTACATTCCCCAGCCCTTTTTTAAAAATTTTGAGACAGGGTTTCCCTGGATTGCTAAGGCCAGCCCTGCACTCCTCATTTTCTGCTTCAGTCTCCTGAGTAGATGGGGTTATGAGTGTACCACTGTATCGGGCTGCTGAGCTGTTGATGTGTTTCAGGCAATAGACTAGGTACGTCATATGCTCTTTACCTAACTTAAACCACACATCAATTTTTTAGTTGAACATGAGTAATAGAGGCACGTTTTCAATGTACAGTGTCTTACTTATGGGCAGAAATAAGTTAGCTAAAGGTAAAGTTTGCTTATAGCTTTGAGGTGGACAAGAAATACAGTAGAATTAAAAACAGAAGCTTTGTTGAGGCTTCAACAGTGGAAAGGAAACTTCAGTAATGGAAAGGAACAAAGTTTCAAAGCTATTACTGAAATCAAACATGGAAGCTTTCAAAAATTAAATTGGAATTTGAAACTACTAAAAATATGTTAAATTTCGTACCTTTCTAGCAGAGTTTCTGCTTTAAAGATGTCATCCCATTTGGGAATAACTGTTGGTAGAAAGCAGCACATCCTTAAATTTTTATTGTTAGACTATTGATGGAAGGCAGTATTAGGGATCAAATCTGGGGTCCCAGGCCATGCTGGGCAACTGCTCTACCATTTAGCTACATCCCTAGTCCCTTGATGTATGTTTGTTATTTTTTCTGAAAGTTAGATTTATCATTTCCTATATTTGTAGGGTTCTTTTTCCATACTTTACAGCAGGAAAAAAATTCAATTTCACAGATGAAATCACCTTAGAAAGTGCCCAGTTTTCTTCTCACTTCGTAGTATAAACTCTTCAGATAATTAGTTTTCTTTGTGACTATACTTACATGATAATTAGGAACCATTCCTGAAGCTTCTAAAGCTATCAAAAATTAAGTTTTACTTTTATCTTTCTAAAGAATGAAATATTAAACTAATATGTAAGCTATATTTTGTATAAATATGAAAATCTTTTTTTTTTTGGTACTGGAAATCTAACTCAGGACCCCGAGCTTGCCATGCAGGCACTTGTGCCACTGAGCTATATCCCCGGCCGAAAATCTTTTTCTTAAGTATAATACAAACTAGATCATGGGTTTTACTTTTATATTATACATGTAAAAAGACATATTATTTTTTGTTTGTTTGTTTTTCTCCGGTACCGGGAACCGAACTCATGACCTTGCACTTGCCAGGCAGGCGCTTTTGCCACTGAGCTAAAAATCCCCAGCCCTAAAAAGACATTTTAAAATATAAACCTTTTCCCAAAAAATTCTAAGAAGTAATAAGCAGTGGCTCACCCAACCTAGGCAAACTCATGTACTTGTAGTACCATCTGCTTGATATCAGCACAGGGAGAAAGATTAGGTAGTTTGATGGCTATGACATTTCTGCCTAAAGTTACTGTCCTTATCTTCCCATTCAGGACTCTGCATGGCTTTTTCCCTTTGCATTTTTTATTCTCTTATTTTGGAGGGATGGAGATTTGGAGGTCTGTCTCAAGCTTGGATTATCATCATCTCATCACAGAGTGTTTGAAATGAAGCTTTGAAATGAATTATAAGATTGTGATTTCATGTTTGAATGAGGATAGTTTTTGAGGTTCTTCATGGAGAGAGACTGAATTGTATTTGAAAATTTTTGTCTTATTGTTTGTATTTCTGTTATGATTCCTTTTGTGACATCTTTTCTACCATTATTCTTTAGCTTTATGAGTAGTGGTTAAGGTTTTTAACTTACACTGGTAGAATATGGAATTTAAAAAAATATTTTCCTGTATTTGAATGATTCCTATGTATTTAGGAAGTTAATGTTTTTACTTTATTGAATAAATTGTTCATGGTCTCTGTCAAAGAGGAATCTCATTTAGGGACTGGGGGCATAGCATAGTAGTAGAGCATGTGCTTAGCATGTGTGAGGCCCTGGGTTCAATCCCCAGCAACAAACACAGGGTGGGGGAAGGCCTCCTATCTAAAGGAGACTTTTAATGACCCTCCAAAGAAAATGAAAGATAAAGTTATCTTTTCAGCAATCTCAGTTAAAATAATGATAGACACACTTCCGATAGGACTTTTAGCTTCTTTAATTTTTTCTTTTACCCCGTTATATCAGTGGTTATGTTTATTTTTGAGATTCATACAGTTGAATCTAGGTGAGAAAATAATCTTTCTGGAAGTCCTAATTTTTGCCCTTCCTGCTCTTTGTTATATAGCACTGCCTGTCATCCTTCACTGTTTGACTTTATGATTGAGAATTTACCTTTTCTCTGTTACTGTTGCCTAGCTAGTTTGGTCTCTACTTTTATATCATTCCAAATACTGTAGTTTCCGTAGTTGTACCTGGAAATTTATTTCACAATACAACAGATATTTCTGGCTCTGCCAAATAATTTTAACTGCCAAAAAAATCAGTGTTATGATTGGCAAACATAACCATTTGTTTGCTAGTTCCCTCTTGACTTTACTTCTTCCTCAATTCCCAAATGTTCTTCATTCCAAGACAGATTAGTAGACCCTACCTCAAATTTAGAGGAGGTATTTATCTTTAGTATTTAGGGTTTTTCTCCCCTCTTCGGCAGTATCACTGTCTCTTTGTTGGTTTTATCAGATAATGGTATAGTAGTCCTCCCTTAACTGAGGTTCTGCTTTCCTTGGTTTCAGTTGCCTGTGGTCTGCTATTGTCTGAAAATACTAAATGGGAAGTTCCAGAAGTAAACAAGTTAGGAACTTTGTGTGCCATTCTGAGTAGTGTGTTGAAATCTTAGTGTCCAGTTTAGAGAGTGAATATCCCTTTGTCCAGGTCTCTACTGTGTATATGCTACCTTCCTGTTAGTCACTGAGGCACCCTCTTGGTTATCTCATCAACCATCTCAGTTTTGCAGGGCTTGTATATCAGGTTGCATACTACTGGTGACTTTAGGCATTAATTGGGGGTCTTGGAACATTTTCCTCACTGATAAGGCAAAGACATAAATCGATACTAGCTTTCTCCCTACTGGCTTGTATACTCAGGAGTACTTTTGGCAGGTTGATCCTAACTCTTCACTATGATTAAGTCTAGTGCTAGAATTTGGACGGTAACAAACCATTTTACGACTATAGATCAAACATGCTTTTTAATGGGATCTGATGAGTATGCTTCAAGTCTCCCTGGAAAGATACACAGGTTTACATGTCAGCATGCGAAAATATGGCAGAAAGAGGCTACGGTAGTTCAGCATTGCTAATTTTAAGTCTTTGTGGTCTAACCTGAATCTTAGCCATCACATAGAATATTTTTATTGTGACCAGTTCTGTTCAGTTCTAAAAGTGTAAAGAAATTATTTCCAGTAGTGATAGCTACCCAAGAAGGGAACACTTTTAGACAATTTTTCCTTCTGAGGCTTTAGGAGGAGCCTGCCTAAGCTTTAGGCTGTCCGTATTGTAAAGCTGATGACTCAAGTCCTTTTTTTTAAGTCAGGGTGCTAAATATCTTTGCTTCTATCTTGTGTGCTTCTCACTAATGTATTTATCTCTTACTTGTAGTAGTTTAAAGTATTTTTCTTTACAAGTCTATGTCATAGATAAGTGAAGTTTGCTTGGAATAGAAATTAACTGGTAGCTTTATTTGAAGTATAACTTTGGAAATGAACTTCTAGAGTGCTCAAATGAACAGTATCATGTTATGGCTAAGAATAGCACAAATAAAGTTCACAGAATATTTAGTCTCTTCAACTTGGCTATTGATTTCATTATAATCTCACTATAATGTCTTTGAAATAAAATGACCAAATATATGGGTTTGGTTTTTGACACCATTCTCTTTGGCTTCTGATAGGGATATGATAGTGTTTCATTGGTCAAAACATGAATTCATTTTAGAAGGCAAGGAATATACGAGGATAGTGAATAGAATAGAAGTCTAGGAACATTTTGGGGCTTATTAGTTTCATGACTGCGTCTTTCTAACAGATTCATGATAATAATGACTTTCTAAAATAAGTGACTAAAAAATACTGATTTATTTGTATATTTTTCTCTTTTTAGTCGAGCAGAGTGCTAGTGGCATCCCGTAATTTTGCAAATGATGCTACATTTGAAATTAAGGTAAGAATTGTTTTATTTTGTGCTGTATTTCCATAGGTACCCTTTGGTATAGTTTTACATTTAGAATGAAACGTTAATATTTGGACTTATTTTGTTATTTTCTTCCAAATGTCCCAGAATCAAAAGTTTAAAGAAGTTTAGCAAAAATAAGTATTTATTTTTAGTAGTTTGCTGGTGGTTTTTTTTTGGGGGGGCTGCTTAAAAATAATAGAAACTTACTCCAAAGTTTAGGGTGTGATTCAGTGAAACATTTGAATAAGATTCTTAAATGTCTCTTTGAAGATTCGTCTTTCAGTCTATAACTCAGTTGAGTTCTAGGGGTTTTCAGTGAAAATGAGATCTTAGATCACCCTACGCCCATCCCATTGGACAGTGAGGTTTATAGATTGAGGGCATCAGAAGCAATGTGACATGGCCGATGTGCTCCTTTGCTGTTTTTCAACTTGAGTATCATTTGTAAGGGAGTTGGATCGTAGAACGAGTCAGCAGTGTTTGCTGTGCAGTAACTAGAGGATGCCCACCTTTACTTCACCTCAGAAATGTGATCTTCACCGGCTGGAAGAGGGCCCACCTGTCACCACAGTGCTCACCAGGGAAGACGGACTCAAATACTACAGGATGATGCAGACTGTGCGCCGAATGGAGTTAAAGGCAGACCAACTGTATAAGCAGAAAATCATCCGTGGTTTCTGCCACTTGTGTGATGGTCAAGTGAGTGGTGGCTGTGTAGTTGTGTTACTTAGGTGTTTAAAGAGTTACTGCTGATTGGTTTTTACTGTCCTTTTCAGATTTCAGGCTGGTATTTTACAATAAAAACTAGAATGCCAAAACCCACTATGAAGTTTAGGCTAAAGCATTCATTCACACATAGTATCCTGTACCTGCTCTTAGATAGAATGCTGTTATTTTAAAATTTTCTGGCATTGCAGTAATCTGTACCCTCTTTGGAGAAAGGGTTGTTTTGTTGGTCTGTCACTTTGTAGGTTTAGGCCAGGGATTACAAATTCAAATGTGTCCAAGGCCCAGCTAGGTATAGTGAGTGAGCGAAGAAAGCCAAAAATGTGAAACATGGAGAATGGTGACACAACCAATAGTAAGCTGGGATGGGTGCTTCGTACCTAGGAGGAGGCCAGACTTGGTTCTAGCCAGTTCATACTAGATGAAGAGAGTGGCCTACGGCTTCCTATTGGTTGCTTTTCCAGAAAGAGACAGAAGACTCAATTTTCATATGACATTCCCTCAATGTTTTAACATTGGCATCTGACTCAGGCTTTTTTTTTTCCCCTTTTCTGGTGGTGGTACTAGGGACCAGACCCAGGGGCGCTTTACCACTGAGTACATCCTCAGCCATTTTATTGAGACAGTGCTCCACTAAGTTGCATATCAGACTCAGTCCTTCTGCCTTAGTGCCTTGTTGAGCCTAGCTCTTTGTGTTTTTTTTGGCACCGGGAATCAAACTCACAATCTCAGGCTTGCCAGGCAAACACTTATGCTGCTAAGCTACATCCCCGGCCCATGTTTTGTTTGCTTTTGTTCTACTTTTTAATCACTCTACAGAGGAAACAGTACACCTGCAGGTTATTAGTTTATGGCTTCTGGTTTGGCCCTTGCTCTCCACTTTGCTTTTGATAAAAAAAAAAAAATAGCCACTTTCTGTGGTTATTTTTACTAGTTCTACTCACCCATGTTTCATAACATAATGCTTCACAGCATTTGGTCTAACAGAAACCTTTTTTATCCAGAAATGTGTATTATGTTACCTCATGGTTTCTTCCCCTTTTAATGCAGGAAGCCTGCTGTGTGGGACTCGAGGCTGGCATAAATCCTACGGACCATCTGATCACAGCCTACCGGGCTCATGGCTTTACCTTTACTCGGGGCCTTTCTGTCCGAGAGATTCTAGCAGAACTAACAGGTTTGCTGTGGATTTACAAAAAGGGGGAGTGAGTTGATGGCATTTTCAAATAGCTCCCAATAAGATGCTGACTGTTCTGAGTATTAGAAAGGATCTTTTTTTTTTTTTTTTTTTTTTGGTGCTGGGACTCGAACTCAGGACCTTGCACTTGCCAGACAGGTTCTTGTGCAGCTGAACTATATCCCCAGCCCCCTGTTCTGAGTATTAAAATCGATTTTGAGTTTAATATTAAAAACAAAATAAAAAACCTCTCGTTTAGTGCTCTGGTACGTCTATTATGCTTTTGAGTAAATTGACCATTTGTGAAGTCATCTGGGCCCTCAGGTAAAAATTTTAAAAACATTAGTGGTGTACAGTACAGTGAGAATGTGGTTTGATCTCGCTCCAGCATGCCAACAGAAAACCAGCAATCATAAAGTAATTTGGGGTGAAGCATTCCACAGTGTATAGTGTAGGTTCTAGGAATCGTTTTAGTATTTCTTGTCCTCCTTGACTGTTATTAAACTGTTTAGTGTACTCATGTAGGAGAAGTCAGAAGATGTGTGCAACCGGCGAAAAAAGCTCAGCATACCACACTAAACGTCTGAAGGCAACTAAGTGGGCAGGGGCAAACATCTGAAGGAGCAGAGGGAATGGTCAAGGACATGGGATTAATCTGACCTTCCTTACTGAAGGACAGAGAAATGAGGTTTTTGTGGAGGGACAGAAAATGATTGAACTGGCCTCAAGAGGAAGAATATGGGGTATGGTTTTGTTTTGAATATTTGTTTTTTTTATACCTGCGCGATATACTGCCATTTCTAGGACGAAGAGGAGGTTGTGCTAAAGGGAAAGGAGGATCTATGCACATGTATGCGAAGAACTTCTACGGGGGCAACGGCATTGTCGGAGCTCAGGTAGCTGAGTATGAGGATCATATGCTTCCATAGACTTGATCTTGGCTCAGGATTTCAGTACTTGAGGGACTGGTTTGCTTTTAAAGACCTATTCCTTCTTACCCTACCCTATGAGCAATTAATAAGTAGATTTGGATAGTGATTTAAAATTTATTTTTCAGGTATTTATAAGTAAGCAAAAGCCTCTAGTAGTGGAGCTAGCCTTTCTTTCACCTTTTATATTTCAGTGTGTTAATTGCTTCATCACATCACCTTTGCCCTCTGTGTGCTCCTAGGCAGTGCTAACACTGGGGCCAGACTAGAAGCGGGGGAGGGTAGAATCTCAGGAGCAAATTAACAACATGCAATTATTTCTGCTATAGTAAGATTCTATTAAATATGTTTTAAATCTAGGTTTTCTTTTTTGACTGTAGGATTTGTCGTTGAACCCGTGGGTACAGAAATGTCATGGTCAGCTGGTTGAAACATAGTATTTATTCGTGTTACTTTACTGATTAGTTGAAAATATTGGGGTGAGGGAACAAAGGCAGGGTTAGGATAGGAAGAGTTTGTGGCAACAGTAAAATTGCTGTCTCCGACCCTGTTCAGGAGTTAAAATTCAGAGTACTGCTCCTCTGAAGGGTTTCTGTGGTTCCTTTCTCCGTCATCCTTCATGTTAGGTGCCCTTGGGAGCTGGGATTGCTCTGGCCTGCAAGTACAATGGGAAAGACGAAGTCTGTTTGACATTATATGGTGATGGTGCTGCTAATCAGGTAAGTATGTATCTCTTCACTTTCCAGTGGTGATTTTATTTCCAAAGCTTGAAAGTTCATAGTTAAGTTCATAAAGAAATGCAGTGTTACTTATCAGTTGAAATAACATTTCATATAGCAAGGTGACGTTTGATTTTAAGGCTGTATTGGAGATTTACTTCCTGGCATGTTTCGCCAGAACCTTATGGGGCACATTCCTGTGAGGGACCTCTGTTTTGCTCTGATTAGTGCTTCACAAGTGCTCTGTGGTGAAGATCCTTTTCTTCCTTTTAAATGTCTGACCTGTTGCAAACCAGTATTATAATATACAGGCTCCTTCTCTTGGATGCCAGGGAAATGTCAAATTCCTATATTGGTGTCTGAGCCCGACCCTTCATTTCTTTGCTGTTTATAAGGCACTCAGTGAGTCCCTGTTCTAGAGCTTATTCTCAGGTGATGCTTCACTCTGATTATCCAGTAGATCTGATAATTATAATAAAGCATAAAACACATTTTTACATGATTTTTTCCCAGTGTACACCATCTTACTAGTGGGTCCCCAAACAAACCAGTTTTCTCATTTGTCACTTCCCTTAGTTGCAAGAGTGTGATGCCTGCCGTTTCTCCTCGCTGCTCCCAACACATGTTCTTTTCCCTTGCCACCAGGAACTTGGTTTTAGAAGATGAGGCTTTTTAGCCTTCAGGCAGTTGCAACAACCTTAGGCAGAATAACAACTGTCAGGGATGATGAGGATGAGGTCCAGAAAAATAAGCAAAATGAAACCACTTGAACTTTCTGTACATACTTCCAGGGTCAGATATTTGAAGCTTACAATATGGCAGCATTGTGGAAATTACCTTGTATTTTCATCTGTGAGAATAACCGCTATGGAATGGGAACATCTGTTGAGCGAGCCGCAGCCAGCACCGATTACTACAAGAGAGGCGATTTTATTCCTGGGCTGAGGGTAAGAACACCTGTTGTAGACCCAGAGCCACACCCTCTCAGCTAGATGTCCTTCTGCGCACTTTTGGCAGTCTTAGAAAACTTGCAATCTTTTATCTTCTTACACATGAATGGGTTGTGTCGAAGTAAAATGGGGAAGCTGGGAGTGTGGCTTAGTGGTAGAGCACTTGCCTAGCAGGCATGAAGCCCTGCGTTCCACCCCCACCACTGCTCCGCCGAAAGTATAAAGTGGGTTTGGACAGTTTGTGTTCTGCTCCTTTCACCTTTATTAACAGGTAGATGGAATGGATATCCTGTGTGTCCGAGAAGCAACAAGGTTTGCAGCTGCCTATTGTAGATCTGGGAAGGTAAGACTGTCCAGAAACTTTCTCTTAGGCCTCTGGGCTAAAAATTTTCAATGACATTTATGTCTTTTAAAGTTCAAAGAAGGCTTCCAACGTGCCTATTGTAGTTACTCAGGGATGGCTGCTGATTGAGGTATATAAGATAGAAGTGGAGCCCAGTCCGGTGAGTGAGTAAATATGAATAGCATGGTCAGGGGCTGGGGATTTAGCTCAGCTGCAAAGCGCCTGCCTGGGAAGCGCAAGGTCGTGAGTTCGGTTCCTGGTACTGGAGAAAACCCCCCCCCCCAAAAAAAATGAATAGCATGGTCTGAGTAGTGCACCTCAGAGACACTCCACATTTCCTTCACTTGAGGTTAACTCTTCGAATGCTTCCTACGGTTTTCGTGTCTTCTCATCATGGATAATCTATTTTGCCTTTCGGTGAGGTTCATTATGTGCCCCGCCCCATTAATCATAAGCCACTTGAGTGACCAGATTGGGGTTTCTCACATTATCCAGCTAGGAACTTTGCATTCAATAGAAACTGGTTTTATACAAATTAAACAACATGGTTAAAGTGTATAATCTTAGTTTTGCTGCATCCTTCTTTCAGAAACTTTACCTTTTAGTTCTAGTATATGGAAGTAAGGGAGAGGGGAACAGTGGTATTGACCTAAAGAGTACCTTCAACATTGGTAGAAATTTAGTAATAGTTCTCCCTAAGTCACTGTTCTACAGCTCATGTGGTTTACCTAACAGTGACAGTGACATGCCATATGTGTACGTTTGGGCAGTAATGCAAATCACATGTGGTTAGCAGTGATGAAAATGTTAGGAAAGAGGGAAAGGAAGCCAGGAGGAAGAGGTAATGTGCCATGAGACAATGAGAAGGGTAAACTACAGCAGGACTAAGGTTGGCTACAGCGGGCTGGGCAGTCTATATTAGGACCGTAAGTCTAAGGAAAGGTAGAACAAACCAAGGTGATGGATCTCTTGCAGATAAAAGAGGTGCAGGGGACCAAAGGGGAGGGCTGAGAGGAGGAGATGGGGAAATAGAGTGAAGATGTCCCAGGTACAAGGTCCTAATAACCTCAATGAATGTGGACATAATATGGCATAAAAAATGAACTATGATTAATTGTATCAACAAGAATGAAAAGGGGCAAAGAGGAACTAGAGGAAAGGTGAATAGAGAGGGAAGAGGATTTAAAAGAAAAGAAGGTATATTATACATTTGTACTAACTCCCCAAGATGATTGTAAAATGTACTACCCAAAAAAAAGGAGCAAGGGGGCTAGACCCTGGGGGGTGGGTGTTGTCCCCATTTCTCTGTATTTGAAAAGGAAATGTAGGGCTTAACCTTGAACAGAAACAAGAGTTTATAGGATGTGATGATGAAATCCTGATCTTGGAACTGAGGGGAGGATCTGGAATCCTCCTTGTCACCTCAGCCCAACCCACTATGATTCCAGAAAGAGAGGGACAGTTGAAGGATCGATACATGTTAGGCAGTATACTTTTTACATTTTTTTTTAATCTTTACAATTCTGAATTAGGTATGTTTTGCCTATTTTGCTGATGAGAAAACTGAGGCATAGCAGTTCAAGAATATGGCTACCATATCTTAGAGCCAAGATTAGAAACCCCAAGCACGTGGCCTGAGCCAGGTCCCCATCCCACTTACTACACCAGACTACCCAGGGTTCCTTTATCCATCCCCTTCCTTTCAATAAAAACACATTGAGCACGTTAGTGTGGCATAAACAAGCCACTTGGTGCTGCACAGCAGAGTTGTTAGGTTTGAGGTATCAGAGATTATTGGTGTCTGCTGGCTGTTTTTGCACATCAGCAAGGTCCAGGTGAAGTGGGATTGGCTGTCATCCCCTGTGAAACACTGCATGAAATGGGCCAAATTTACTGAGGTAGAAACGGAAATCTACCTACCCAGTATCCATGGGCTCTGTAATGTGCTCAGTGTTTTGTTTTGTTTTGTTTTGTTTTGTTTTGTTTTCTTGAAAACAAACTATTGGCGGGTTGCTTTACTAACTTCCTATTAGAAATGAGATGGGTGAGCTGTAATCCTAGCTATTCAGGAGACTGAGGAAGGAGAATCGAAAGTTGAAGGACAGCCTGGTGTACTTAGTGAGATCATGTCTCGAAACAATAAAAAGGAAATGCAAGGTCCTGAGTTCAATTTCTGGTACAAAAAAAAAAATTAAAAAAAAAAAACAAAAGGGCTGAGGGTATAGCTCGGTGGTAGAGCACTTTCATACAGTGTGTGAATCCCTGGATTCCATCGCCAGTATCCCCCCACACACACAAAAGGCTGAAATGGGCAATAAAATAGGTGTCAAAAATTCCTGTCAACTCGGCTGATTTATAGGTGATAACCAAAATATATTGGTTGCTACAGGGGTCTTCCTTTTGAGGCGGGAACTATTGGCATGCTGTTCCATCATCTTACTGTCCACTTATGGGTCCTGTTTTAGGGGCCCATCCTGATGGAGCTACAGACTTACCGTTACCATGGACATAGTATGAGTGATCCTGGAGTCAGGTACAGTCATGCGGTGTTTGTGTGGGGATCCCAGAGTGGGTGAGCTTTGAATGGTGTTTCTGACATGAAAAGCATTTGCTTTTGAAATCAGTTCATTTTATTCATCAAGTTTCTAACTCCAATTAGAGTTACTTAGTGTGAAAACAGTGCTCCTAAAGAAATTGGTTCCAATATAAAAAGCATTCTGAAGATCTCTACAATATGTGCTATGTGTTAGCTGAGAAGTAATTTTTAAAAAGCATTGTATAACTAAATTGCAGAGGGAAATTGTTGCATAAAACAGGTCTTATGGGAAAGTAGCATTTTGAGGGTGTGCAGTTTATGTAGGTATTACCTGAAGTTTACACATGGCAGATTCTGCCCCAAGAGGATTAGGATTTGGAAATGTTCCAACTCATGGCAAGCAAGGCCCATTGGCTCATGGAGTGTTCAGTAAGTAGCTATATGTTAATCAAAACAGGTGGGTTACATGGGAAGGTGTGAGTTTTCCTTTTTCACTTAGTAGCTCTAGCATGTAATTCTGTAATTGAAAAGTCAATTTAGTTAAATAAGCCTTTGTAGAATGGATTTCTAAGGGAAAATGTACAGAGTAGTTTATAAAAGGAGAACCCTTGCTTTTAGTCAGTGTTATTTCAAATATGATATAGGAAAAGAATATACAGTATTATATAATCTAAAATTGGAAATCCTGATAACCAAGTTTTTGCCAGCCATGCTACTTTGGGCTTTTCAGGGAGAAAGGTAAGGCACATGTACTTTCTGCTTGCTTGGCGTTCTGATGCCTCAAAGTCTGTAATTATCACTGCTGCCACTATCCACGTAAAATATAGGAGCCTGAAGAGATAGGACATGTGATTCTTCCTTCGTACATTACTTCCAGATGAAGGAAGCAAACCAACACTTGGTTTGTTTTCAAAACGCAAGAGAAGCCCTGTGAGTTACAGTGTACAATTTCCTGTAAGAGATACAATCAACTTTTACAAGCTATTAGCTGCCGCCTTGTGTTCTGAAAGTTTGCCTGTGTTCTTCCCGCAGCAACATTGGTAGTGACCTGCCCCTTGCTTTCCAAAACGTACTGCTATATTTCACTAAGCTGTCACCTCACCAAGCAATTCTTGCCTATCACTGTTTCCCTCCCCATAGTTACCGTACACGAGAAGAAATTCAGGAAGTAAGAAGTAAGAGTGACCCTATTATGCTTCTCAAGGATAGGATGGTGAACAGCAATCTTGCCAGTGTTGAAGAATTAAAGGTATAGTCACTCTTGGTGGTTTAAGTCTGGCTTTAAAGGTTGGCTTTCCTTTTTTTTTTGGCTTTCCTTTCTTGGCAATCCCTCTCCCAAAAAAAGTTGCCACAGAGTCATCAGTGAGTTTGTCTAAGCCAAGAAAGTGATGTGAAATCTCTCAGGACTGTTCTTAAGATGTGATGGGCACTGAACTGCGTAATAGGAAAGTACATGTTATCCCAGGACATTAATTATATTGGCAAAAAAACCTTTACATCTTCCCCTAATTGCCGAGTTCTTTCTTCTTAAAAATACACTTTGGATTTTTAATTGATAGCCAGTCCCTAGGTTAGCTACCTGTGTAATTGTCATTTAAACTCTTCAAAGTTACCAACTGTTGGCACTTTTAATACTAGAAGTTACACTTATAGCATCAACAGGTTCTGAGTAGAACTCTAGTTGGCACTTAAATTGCTATTTATTCAGAAATCTCTTGTGCTATAATCTAATGTTTAGGAAATTGATGTTGAAGTGAGGAAGGAAATCGAGGATGCTGCCCAGTTTGCCACAGCTGATCCTGAGCCGCCTCTGGAAGAACTAGGCCATCACATCTACAATAGCGACCCACCCTTTGAAGTGCGTGGTGCTAACCAGTGGATCAAATTCAAGTCAGTCAGTTAACAGGAGACCACATGTAATGGGTGGGCTATTCATCAGCAACTATAAGGAACTCTGTTTTCAACTTTGAGGAATAATATCCAAAAAATATAAGTCTTGGAAACTTTTTAAATAGCATGTAAATTATATTAAGGAGTAATGGCATGCAGGTTGTATATTAGTGCTTAAGTGCTTTGTGTGAATATATAAAAACAGGTAAAAGTATACTCCTCTCGCAAATTATTTCCTAAAATAGTTTACATTTGTCTAAACAGAAGAACAATTCTTTGAGTATTCCAACCCTGTCACCTCTTTGGCTGGAGATCACTGGCCTTGAGGAATCATTGCTATATTCTCAAAGGACCCCTAGCCCTCACAGGTAGTGTGGATGCAGAAGACTGTTGACACCGATATTTTTTCTCCAACATTGTTTATTATTATAAGATTTTAGTCATGTTTTATTGTAAGATTTCAAAGACCAAATTATTTCATTTTCTCCATTTATACATTCACATAAACATGAAGTTATCTTAAGTTACATTCCTATTAGATAATAAATTCAAGGCACATTTGTATCTGTTCTATCTTATCATTTAAGTGCTATAGTAATAAATAAGGGGTACGGGGCTTCTCTTTAAACACTTATTCCTTTCTATCAGTTACTGTAGGGTGTGGTGACTTTTTCCATCAATTACAGTAGGGTGTGGTGAGTTTTTTCATGGAAGTAAAATTAATTTCTAAGAACTTTCTAATATGCTGGGATATCTAAATTAAGATTCACTATTCATATTACATGTACTTCTATAAATCTATAAAATGTTTATCAGTAGCAGACTAAAAAAATTCAGTAAGAACAATCTTTAAAACTTCAGGTTCTTAAAATAATGGAACAAGTCTTTCTTTTGTAAACTCAGCAGAATTTGTGGCATATGGAAGCTGAAGCTTGAGCCACAAACATGTCGACTATTTGCTTACTCTTCCTCCGGTGTAGCTGCAGCCCCAGAGGACACCTGAGCCTGTTCTCTGTGCTGGGAGATCTCTTGCCAGATTCTGTGGAACATACCACCACTGTGAAATAAAAAAGAGTTCTAAGAAAGGCAAATTTCAAACTAAAAATCCCAAATACTTATCTAGGAGTCCTTATGGCAAAAAGTATAGTATGTAACTCCAGAGTTAACATTTGCTATCTGTTCTCAAAAGCGCAGTCCCTAACTTAGGCACTTCACAGAAACATTCGTATATGAAGGTGATACTTGTGCCCCAGCACTGGTAGGACTTGGCCTTAGAAACGTGTGCAGAAGTACTGAGGGATCTGTGTAAGGCCATTTAAAGTGACACAGGAATAAGAGCGCAGGTTACCATTTAAAGAGAACTGAGTGTAGTATGCTGGCACCTCATGCCATACCTTGGCCTTTTCCTAACTTGAACCTAGCAGAATTCCAGATTTACTTCAGATTGGGGAGGGGAGAAGTTGCCAGCACTATGTTTTCTACTTTATTTTAAAGTATATTCACACAAAAAAAAGTTCTGTTATACAAACTGTATTGAACCTCTTACCGTAGTTGAAGGCGCTTTAGGTCTTCCTTAGTGATATTGTTAAGAATATCAGAAAGAGTGTAACCCTGTCCAACAATCTGAAACAAAGACGAAGTACGTAAGAGATAAGCAGCTTTTTGACAACATCATAGGAATCATTTTTGGTTATAAATGTACCTTTTCAATTGTATCTGCATCTGCTCCTTGCAGTTGCAACCACGCTATAAGCTCTTTATCTGCTGGCATCTCTGCAGTACCTGTAATGATTAGAAACTCTTGTATATTAACATGCTATTCAAAAGTAAAATGGATGTAAGAAACTATCGAGAATGTAAATGTGATGTGAAAAGATGAGTTAAACCTGTATTATTCAGCTGCCGTATATATATTATACAATTCATAATTCATGGGTTTGTTTTACAGAGAGCAGAATGATCCTTACCTACCCTACCTTTAATAAATGTATAACTTGGTATGATACCTGTCTCAGTTTAAATACTTATTTCCCTATCTTTAAAGTGCCTTATCTTAGGGATGTACTGTATCTCCCAAACTGCACTGGAAATAAAATGAGAAACCAGGCTTTGTGCCAGAGCTTATCCATTCCACATTCTAAGTGGCAACTGTAGCTCTTCTAAGTGTCACAAAATGAGAAGTGTACTGAAGTATAATTTGCACAGTAAACCACTCTTTTAAGGGGTACTTAATGTCACTCATGTCACTACTACCACAATCAAGGTGCATTTCCACACCCCAAGAAGCTGTCATGTGTTTATAATTTCTTCTCTTTCCTGTTCATTCTCATTTATTCTGTTCCTTTATTTCTGCCTTTTCCAGAGTACTATGTGAATAGAATCACAGTATATAGCCTTTGAATCTGGTTCTTGTACTCAGCATACTGCATTTGCAATCTATCCCATGTTGTTGAATAGACCAGTAGTTCCCTTTTATTGTTAATATTCCAGAACCTACTAGAGTTCTGGTTTCACAGAAGATAACCTCAGCTCTTTCTCCAAGCTGGTTAGAATATTAGCCAGCTTTTAAGTAGTTTCTCTCTCACATGCAAACACACCTAAAATAGGGCAAATAGAAAATGACTCACCATTACTTTCGCATTGTAAGTGAAGGTGGTACACTTCTTGAGATTTCTGTTCGAGAGTTCGTTTGAGAAGATTCTGGTACTCTCTCTCTTTTTGAGCTAGGTTTTCTAAAAGTCTGGTTTAAAAGGAAAGAAAAAACGCCATTCAGAGAGCCCAGTACCATCTAATCCAACTCAAACATTTGTTGAATGTTAGAGATTTAACTGGCAGGGGCATCCCAACAGCCCACAGAGAGAAGTGATATACTGTTCTTAAAGGGTTCTGCCTCAGGTTTTATCTCATATAGGGGAAACTTCCTTGTGTTTTTCCTCTCCTTGGAAACAATGCTTTCAGCATGAGTATATTTTTGCAATGGAATGTTTGTGTCCTCCTGAAATTCTTCTGTTGAAATCCTAACCCCAAGGTGCTATTTTTAAGGGTGGACCTTTGGGAAATAAAAATAACACTCTTATGGAAAAGATCCCAAAGATTCCTTTGTCCCTTCCATCTTGCAAGAATGCAGTGAGTAGACGGCCATCTGTGAACCAGGAAGTGGGCCCTTACCAGAAACTAAGTCTGCTACCACCGTGATCCTGGACTTTGTTTCCAGAGCTGTGAGCAGTACCTCTTGTTTGTAAGCCACCCACTGTATGAGATTTTGTCATAGCAGCCTGAGTGGACTAAGATAGTTTTGTCTCAGAATGCATCAGGAACCAGCAGTTAATTTGGTGGGATCAGTAGGAGTCACTTAGAAGGGCAGTCTGATTAAACTTGTCTCTTAAGGTAAAGTAGTTGAGACTAGGATGGTCAGAGTCCTTCTTCCTCACAAAAGGAGTAAACCAAGGGGATTGCTTCTGATGACAGCTGGGGCCCGAGAAGGAACAGTGAGTGGTACAACTTCACTATGTGGAAGATGTCACAGTCACTGAGCATTCAACGCAGAATCCAGGACTGCTTACCAATTTTCACAGATTAAGTCATTGAAGCCTTACAACAGTTTTGTAAAGTTGAACACCATTTTTGTCTAAGCCCAATCTTTAGAGATAACTGGCAGTGATTAAATAATTCACCCAGAGTCACACAGACTGGGTTCTTCCCATTAGAACAGTCTCCTGATACCCAACCTTTCTCATGGTCTACCTGGGGAAGAAAGGCAGGGCTTGTCATTTGAGGTCTCAAACTTGCACATCCACCTATATCAGGTCAGGTAGCATGCCTGGGGAAGGGAGCAGCAGCTGGCAGATCAGAGCCATGTCCAGGTTTTTGTTTGCTGATGTACAAGAAATCCACCCCTACCTTTCTTTACCTTTATCCATCAAGAAGTCCTTCTTTTACCTAAGTGAAGGGGACAATCCTAGCTTGTGCCTGTGCCCGTTCAGGGGAAAGGAGTCTCAGGCTTGTTGCTTACTGGGACAGACCAGTTATCCTCAGCCACATTATTGTGTCCAGTAAGGGCCATTCTCTAGTTCTGCCCAACTGCCGCACAGCTAAGCCATCTTCTACCCCAACCACAGGCAGGTTGCACAGGAACTGCGTGTTTATTTTTAGCCATTCACATTAATGTGCTGGCTGCTGTTAACCAGTGCTTTAGGCTGCTGAAACTAGAACATAACAAAAGGAAAGAACAGTGGAGAGGAATGATCTTTAAATCCATATATAACATGAATTAGGTGATTATAAATCTTACTGAAAAAAAGTTTTGAAAAAATGCTGTTTTACTGCCAGCTTTCATACTTGTCATCTTTCTGAAACTTCCAAAATTTTGCCACTATTTCCATTTGATTAAAATGCTGGGTCTTATGTTTTAAGAGAGAAATGACAAGATCTGCCTAAAATTAAAACTCCAAAGTCCCATATGGGTATATGACTTTTCATCCAAAGTATGTATGTGTACCTGACCCATTTCTATTAAATAAGAAGCATCACCAGTGATCATATGGCAACAATGCATCATTTAGAACAAGCACCAACTAGTTTACTATAGCTGGGGAGTCTTTTTTTAAGAGCTCATTTATAAAAGTGATTCCCCTTTACTCATTATTCATTCAACAAATGATTTGGAACACATACTGCATGCCAAGGGGGAACATTATGGCAGTGCTAGGGCCCCCTGGTTGGAAAAGCAGTCCACTGATGCTTTCCTGGGGAGCATGACAGATCACCGGAGAGATCTAAAGGCAAATTTCTTTGGGGTGAGGGGTATGGGCGATACATCCATTGCCCAAATGCAAACTGAGCTCCAAACTCTGCTACTTAAAGAGACAGGCTACAGGTGTCCACTGTTGACCCTGCTGGGTCACACTATGCTGTGGTAGGTGTACCGTCTCGGTAAAGACACAGAAAGAGCTCAGATACTGCTGCTTTGTGTGGCATATTTTTCTGTGGCCTGTGCCTGTCTGATTCCTAATAGCACAAAGCTGTGAATACATCCTTATTTTGTGTATTGATAGTGAAGGTGCTTTTCTTCTGAGAACTGGGTGATATCCTCAACAACTGTCTCGTTGTTCAGGTCATCGTCCCACCTGTGCTTCAGGCAGACAGCCTGGAATGGAAGGTACTTACCTGCTGGTCTCCTCCTTGATCTTGTTCAGCTGGAGGCTCAGGTGCTGCTGCTGGTGTGGTGGTGGGGCCTCTTGCACAACCACTGAACAATTTGTGCTCCTGCTGGATGCCGCACATGGTTCAGCAGACAGGCATGCTACAGGATAGTTCTCCGTGTTACGTACTTCTTGCATCTGAGAGGCAGGCTCAGAGCGGGGTTGGAGCTCTGCAAAATCACAGACCATGGTTATCAAAATACTACTTTAACAAGGCCTGGACTTCGTGTCATGTATGTTTCCTGTTGGCAAACTAGGCTGTTCACCAGTTGGCTGGGCCACTGTGACACTCAAGGGAGTGCTGACTTTGAAAGGACAAGAAAGGATTTAATTTTGTTCTCTCCAGTGCAAAGATGATCACCCCCAGCTTACACAAGAAGGAACTGAGAATTAAAGATGTTCAGGAAATTAGCTGTGGTGGCTCGACAAAGGTACAATCAGGCCAGTTGCTCAAGCAGGAGAGGAATGGAGAGTCCTGGGGTCCACTGTGCCCTTCCTGCCAGCTGAGCCCAGGCTAAAGAGCATTCAGCAGAACAGACATATCCAGCAGCTGCCCAAAGTAAAGGAAGGAAGGGACAGTGTCAGCAGAATCATTCTAAAGCCTCCACTCATATGAAGAAACACGGCAGGAGAGAGCAACTTTGGTATTTAGCTGCTGTAGCACTTCAAAAAGGAAGTCTACAAAAGCCCAAGTTGGGCCTGGGGCATAGCTCAGACACAGAACATCTGCTTAGCACATATGAAACCCGGGGTTCAATCTATTGCACCAAAAACAAAGCTCTAAATTTCATAGGTACCACAAGATGATTCTAAAAGAAGCAGAGCCATGTAATTATCAGCTGTCTAGTAAGCACCTGTGAGCAGGCACGCCGCAGCATGGAAGGGTCCCTGCCCTTGGGCTCCACACTCCCTTTTTAGTGCACACATTTACTCTGGGTGCAGTCACCTTCACTGCACTTTAGGAAGAGGTAAATACAGCACCATGAGCTGTTCTTGGCCCCTGAAGAGATCTATGACAGCATTCACTTCATTGCAGGGAAGTACAAAGCCAAGATGGGAAAAAAATACAAGAGGTGTTGAATCCAGAGGCTATTTCTGGTCTTTTCCATAGCCTGAAGGTGACCTTGACCACAGAGGGCACTTACCTGGGGTGAGAGTGGTGACTGCAGCCTGCACCGCTCTGCAGAGAATGTTGTCCATTGCAAACATCCACTGAGGCCTAATTAAGTGGTTTCTCAAAATTTTGTTTACCTAAAATCACAAAAATCCAAGTAAGTTCTTACTAATTTGCTTCTACTCTGAGATTGTTAGGCATGCTGACCTGGGTTTCTGCCTCACGTATTTCTTCTGAACTGTCTTCTTTTAGGCTAGCGATAGCAACCCTTTTAGAGATAAGTGCCCAAACTGCAAACCAAAACCCACTTATCATAATGTGCCAACACTGCAGTTACTTTTACCCCTCATCAGGGCCCTCATCAATGGGCCTTCACATAAGCTTGGACTCTATCCTGACTGCTAGCAGATGTCCCATGTTTCTAAACCCTATATGCGTGCTCTTTGTGGCCAAATGAAATCAGCCCATTCACCAGGTGACATTTTCTATATATACATGCTCGATGTTTACAAGGAACTGCTGAAATTCAGGACTTGGATATAAACAGGTAAGAAGAAATGGGGACTATGGGAGAAGATAGTGATTGAATTCCATAGTCTAGCATGCTCTGTAGGGCCAAATGGAGCACTTACAGCATCCTGGAATCCAAATAGTATCAGGTGAATCTGATTCATGTTTGTCCTGTTCAAGTTGAGGTCCACCTTTAGCTTTGATATCATGGATACCATCACCCTGTGGTCCGGGAAGTAGATGAAGTCCCTCAGGATCCCAATTATTTGCTTGATGTGAGCAACTGAGAGACGCACCTCTTCTGAACTCTGACCATGCACACAAAGACATGAATTGTCATTGAGTTGGGCGGGGATAGAAAATTCAAAATGTTTGTTCCTGGGATTCCCTCCATATCCTTCCTGCCCAGGTCTTCCCTGAGGCACACAGCCTCACCAAGCTCCTCTGAATGGTTCCATCTTCCTGTTTTACACCTCATCAGGACCCTCATCAATGGGCCTTCTCAGAAAGCCGTGTTCATAGTGAGGCAGTGGCCTCTTCCTAAAAGGACCTTCCCCATCCAAAATAAGTAAGGCAGATCAGTTTGTCTCTACTGTATCCTAGTTAAACTCATTTTCATCCATAACCATTCTCCCTAACATGGCTGTTCTCCTGGCTTCTGAGAGCAGCTCTACTGTTTCCTACAGCTGGAGGGCTAACTCAGACCCAGGACTCAAGGTAAACTAAGAAGCCAGACAGAGTCCTTTCTGCTGTCATCCGGCTTGTTTTCCACGAGGGGGCAGCAATACCTCACAAATGCTTGGAAGCACTGCAGTGTTGGACAGATTCACATTTCAGCAACACCCCCCCCCCACACACACACACACATACACATCTTTTGTTTTGCTGGGGAAGATAAGAATGTTGGGAAATACTTATGGTGATCACTGTAATTATGCAACTATTCCAGGGTAGAGGAACCCTGGGCCCTCTTTAGACATGTCTGGGGTCTTGGAGACAAGTAAGAGGGACAAGATTAGCAGGGGCCCTCTGGCAGGCCTGTACCTGGGCCACACATTCCTGCAAGATGGAAACCACCTGGGCCTGCTCCTCCCAAAGGATATTGTAAAGGATGGTGCGGCGCTCACTGTCCTCACGCAGCAAGAGCATGCCTGGATCCCTGCCCTCTGTGGAAGAGGCTGTGCCCTGTTCTTGCAAGGCTGAACTCTGCTCAGGAACACTGCAAATAAGCACATGCAACAATCCTCATGCAGGTCAAGGAGCACTGTCTCCAAGAAGTGCACCCCACTGTGGGAGGGGAGGGACCCGGAAGACCACACAGCAGTCCCCACTACGGAAGGGAGGGAGGCTAAAGAGAGATGCTGTGTCCCTCCCTCTCTCCCCCTTTGCTCCCCCACAGCACTGGGACTTCAGGAAAGGGGATGAGGGTAGGATAGAGGGTGGAGGGAGGAAATAGAGGGGAGATGAGCGGGGAAAGCACAGGAAAAGAGGTCAGTGAATAAAGTACCCACCTTGCTCACACCTGGAAACCCAGCTGTCTTATAGAAAGGAAGCTAAAGTCCTTCCCAGCCTGCTGGTTGTGACCCAGCAGGTATTCTGTCACTACAGAACACCAGCGCCCTTCATAAGACCATGGGAGAGGGACAAAGGGACATAGGCATTACCTGAGAAGGTGGCTGGGCTGGTGGTTGGGTGCATGGGCATCACAGTGTGGGGCAATGGAGCCATGCTCCCTGCTGCTGCTGCTGCTGGTGCTGCTGCCTGCACGCTCCCTCAGTAAGGGTAGAGTCACGATACTGGCAGCAGACTGGACATTCCCTGCAGGGGGCCAACGAGGTAGGGATTGGAGAGGCTCAGAGGGAAAAGATGGGGACTGAGACTCTCTCAGCCCCCCAGGCCCGTGCGCCCACCCAGGACCTTGCTAAGCCCATGGTATTCTATCTGGGTGCTGCAAATGGCCCCATCCCCCAATCCTGGTGAAATTCTAAGTCTGGGATGGGTCCTTGGGAAACACTGATCCAGATAGTCCAGGGTCACACTTGTGGGGCAAGCTACAGAACCACTGTGCCATGGCTTCTGACCCCATCTGTACGAGGGAGAAGAGGCCAAATGGATTTTCAGAGGCCACTCTTATGTCACTGCCGGTTAGAGCTTATGGCCCCAGAAGGTGTCACTAGGCTTTGGTGGCTGGCAGGATAGGCACCACAGGCAAACCTCCCTAACACCCTTTAATCAAGGTCAGGAGCAGCACAGGGTGATAGGCCAGTCTCTGAAAATGAGGCACCAGGCTCTGTACTTGGGGAAGACACAAAACCTCAGCCAAGGTACCTCTAGCTTCTTTCCTTTTCACATTCCCAAAAGAATGACCTTAATAAGGGGGGGGGGCATCACAGTCACCAGAGAGGCTCCCTATGTCTCTGCCAAGAGATGGGAGGACATTTATTGGTTGGGTTTTAATAGCCTCCACACCAGCACCACCCCTGCTACTCTGCACACAAATGGGCACGTGGAGAGCTCTGTGTTCTGGAGAGCTTGCACTCTCTCCAAGCAATAGAAAAGCCTGGGATCCCGGTAACCACCCCCACCCCCCAGTGACACACACACACAGCTGTCCAGGTAGGCCTCACCTGAAGGCCTGAAAGCAGTTTGCCTCTTCCGGCCCATGTCTGTCTGCCTTAAGAAACGCTCTGCGAGTAGGGCAGCAGCAGTGACCCGTTTGCTAGGGTTAGGCTCAAAACAGGATAAGATGAAGCCTCTAGCTTTAAATGAAAGGGTTCGTGGAATCTCAGGGTGCATCTTAAACAGTCCCAACTGCATTGAAGGGAGAGGTAACAGATGTGTTAGTGAGACTGTCCCCATACCCACTGCAATCTTATTCCTGTCTGTCCCATCCACAAATGGACTCTTACTTCCCTATCCCTGCAGTCCTGGCTGGCCTCTTGGGACTCTGTTCTGACTGAGAGATACTGATGGAAGCAATACTGTAAAGGTTTCAGAGGATAGGTTTTAAGGGACCTCATAAGCCCTGCTCTAGTCCTCTTGGGAGTCCTGAGACCATCCCACCATACAGAAACAAAGCCCAGGATGAGTGACCACGTACAGCCTTGTCACAGCAACCTCTGCCATGAAAGAGGCCCTCCTAGACAATTCTGCCCCAGCTCAGCCAGCACATAGATACACCCACATGAGTGAGCCCTCTTCAGGAAAAGAGCCAACAGTCAGCTCGCAGTGAGAAACAAGCCATTGCTTTATGCCTCTATGTGTAGGGCTGATAACCAAGAGGGACTTGTTACATGGCATGGGGTAGAAGAGGCTCGATCTGAGGATATTCAAAGGTAACTGCCACCTGCCTCCAAGAGACACCCCATACACTTCTCAGTCTTTATGCATCCACAGCCCAGATCTCCAATCGCTAGCTCTAAGCCACAAGCAGGTAAAACCTGAGGCGGCTACCTCACGGAGGAGAGTCTCGTGTCTCGTCATCCGTAGCCAATACACAGCCTCCTCCCCATGGGGAACAGTGGGCCACAGGAGAGGTACTGTGCTTTCCTGTTGGGACTCTTGCTAGAATGGCTGCTTCAGCTCCTACTTCTGGTCAGCTAATCACTGTCCTGCTAAAGGCTCTCTGTTCCAGTGACCGATAATGAAGAGTTAGTTCGCAGCTATCACATCTCACCACAATATGGGAATGCTTCCATGACACATCTTGCAGAACTCCTACTTATGTGATTGTCCATTGTGGGTGGTTCTTCAGTCTTTTCAGGCTGTCATCTTAAAGTTCATAGCCTTCCCTGTATCTTTTCCAAACCCACCCAATAACCCTGGGGTGGAAGCCATTCTGTCTTCCAGGTCTACATGCCTTGCCAGCTGCTCAGCAGTCTCAGAGCCTGGCTCGACTCCTTTACCCCACTGTATGAGATCTGGAGGCTACAGAGCCTTATGCGTTCACCTCCCATAGACCCTTCACCAGGTGGGCATGTCTCATTGCCAGGACACTCATGGAAAGGAAGGATAGCTCAGGAGTGAGGGCTTTTTGAGAACACTAAATGCCGATGGAACCCAATCACCAAAATTTGAAATGCAAGGCATATTACAGGTGCCATCCCTCACCTGACTAGTGGGGATAGATCTCAGCAGTGCCCACTGGCGCTAGGGTGTACAGAGACAAAAATTCAGGACAAGAATCTGAAGTGGAAAGCAACGGCTTTCCCTCTGGCCCTCAGAAAGCAAAGAACAGAAGTGGACAGCATCCTAGGACCCTGTAAGTATATCGCTTTTAGGGGTGCTTTGCTATAAATCAAATGCACCCTGTATTAGGAGGCTAGGGCTGCTATATCAAACTACCAAAGACTGATACCTGGGTGACTTAAACAGAAATGTACTGTCTCTTAGTTCTAGAGGCTAGAAGTTCAAGGTCAGACATTGCCAGGGAATGTGGCACACTGGACATCCCTGGATTTCCTTCTAAAACCTATAATGAACCCTTCCTTGCCTATTCAGTGCTTTGGGGGCTTCTAGGCCATCTCTGGTGTTTCTTGGCTTATAGATTCATCACCTCAGTCCCTTGCCTTCATGTGGCATTCTCCTTGTGGGTCTTCAATATTCTCTCTGTAGGGGTTTCTATGCCAAAATATCCCCTCTTTTAATAAGGTTACCAGTCATATTGCACTAGAGCCCACTCTACTGGCCCCATTTTAACTTGATTACAGTATCTCTATAAAGACCCTATTCCCAAATAAGGTCATGTTCTGAGTTACTACAGGTCAGGACTTCCATATATCATTTTGGGCGACACAGACCCGTAACAGTCCCCGTACGAGAACAACTTTTGTTTCAGACACTGCTCAGAAGTTTCTTGAAATTTTTCTGAAGGATTCTAGGATCCCAAAAATAAATGACAGAGGACATCATTTCATACATTTTGCTGGCAATAAAAACTAACTTCATGTGCCGCACAAAAAGTCAATAGCGTTTTAAAAATTTTTTACAGCTAACTAGCTAACCAAAAAGAGGAGACAGGAAGAACAGGGGAGCTGCTTATGTCCTGTGGATGAAATGAGAAAGTTACAGCCTTCAGCTGGGTTCCTGAATTTTACAGGAAGCCCACAGATCAGAAAGCAACCATGGCTCTCAGGCGGGCCCCATGTTTTTCTCAACATCAGCTGCTATTTACAGTGGTACTCTGGTTCACAAACTTAATTTGTTCCACAATTCTGGTAAACGTAGACGCCTCCATGTCTGCATGGGAAAGATGGCCATGGTCATGTTGGTCACCCAATGCAGAGTTTGCAAACAAAAACACAATTTTGCCCAATGCTTGTTTGCAAACCAAACTGTCAACAAACAAAAGAATTCATGAACTGAGGTATTTTCAACGGCCCCAAATGAATCCATTGTGGACAGTTACTAATGTGCTAAGGAAGACCGCTGCTGTCTTTCAGCCCTTGTGTTCACAGCTCTGTTGGTATTACAAGGGTCAGACTTGTTCACTTGAGGTCCTGGCCTTCGAGCTGCCTGGGAAGCTGCTGTAAGGGTAGGAAGCTTTGAGAATCTTCTGCAGGGATCCAGCCAGGCTGAGTACAGCAGCCAAGGTGCCCAGAGCACAGAGCACTCAGAGCCTACTGAACGTGCTTTCCTCACATCCTGAGATCTTAACGCCCAAGGGGCCAGGCCAGAGAGCCCACCAAAGATGCAGGCCATAAGGGAGGTGGCCATATTTGGCAGTGGAGCCAGAAAGAGTACCTGGAACCGTGCACTACCAGGCTGTGTCTGTGCACCATGGTTCATTACTCATAAGCAATGGTCACTTGGCCTTTTGCAACCTATTGTAGTAAAAAAATGTTCCAGGGAAGGTCAAGAGCTGGTAATGGATATTTAGAGCTGGAGCCCCTTAAATGTTTTTGGGTGTACTTTCAGTAAGAAGCTGCAGACCTAATCTTGGGCACACAGGACTGTCCTGGCATCAGCTTCCTGTGAGGTTACCAGCAAGCATATCCCTGTCTGAGACCCCAGTTACCCAGTGGTAAAACCACCACCCATATCTGTTTTGTACTGTTAGCCTCAACACATGGAATGCCCTTCCATCAGCTCTGGGAGGGTTGTTAGAATGATAAAGAATAAATCATCTGATACCTAAAATCCCACTTCTTCAAAATCCAGTCAGAAACCTGTGCTCCAAAAACCCAGACTGTACCATGACCTTAGATGGAGCCTTACTTTGAATAAGGGCAAATGCAAATGAAAAATAAGAGGCTTTATTATCGGTAAGGGAAGATGATATCCCCTTTTCCTAGAGCATTAAGAAAATTTCTAATTGTGTGTTCTTTCTCTGTCTCTTTGAGGTACACATAAATCTTCTTAGCAGCTAAATAAGCCTCTTGCCAAAAATATCACTCCCAAGACCCGGGAGCTACTACTTTGAATTGTAATCATGGAGGAAGATAGTACCTCTACCTCTCAGTATCTATAGAAGAAAGGTACCTAACTCTGTGGTTCCTGGCTCCAAAACTACCTCCTGCCTTAAAGATATGACTAGTTCATTTTTTCGTTTGCATAAAGCCAATAACCTAACAAATGGTCACCTCAATTACTCAAGTAACCCTAAGATAAAACATATGTGACAAATGGTGCTGTGCAAAGTCCTCTTTCATGAGGACTATTTATCTTGAGAATGTGATTTATCTGCTTGGTTACATAAATGGGTAGAATTTTAGCTGGCACTTGGTGGTGCCTGCCTATAATTTCAGGTACTTGGGAGGCTGAGGCAGGAAGATTACAAGTTCAAGGTCAGCCTGGATAGCTTAGAAAGACCCTGTCACAAATTGAAAAAGTAGAAAGGGCTGGGGATGTAGCTCCATAGCAGAGCCATTTGCCTAGTATCTGTGAGGCCCTGAGTTGAGTCTTCAGTGCCAAAAAAAAAAAAAAAGATTCATTTCCATCTTTACAGGGTTAGTGGATTGTCTGATACATTTTCATTATGGTCTAACATGTAATAATCAAACTTCTTTCCTACCTTTGTGGATACGTTTTCTAGACTGAGAAGAGATTTTGTTTTTAATTGCATTTGTCCAACACCTAAACCACCCAAATGACCAGGCATGTCTTACTCTGCACAATACTGTCTGTGATTCATCAGGCTGACGGAACACAGGCCTGCCGATGGCCATTTCTATCACGGTGCAGCCCAGGGACCAGATATCAGCTGGGGCACCATACCCACGAGGTCCTTGATCAAGAACCTCAGGAGCCAGGTACCGTAGAGTGCCTGTGAGGAAAACAAATGAACAAAGTTTGGGGAAATCATATTGCTAAAATCCAAGTGACCAGTAGTAAATAAGTGTGTGGCTTTAATTGCCTCATTAATGGTAGATGAAGCCTCTTCCTATGCATAATGTGGTTGCATCATTTTTTGACCAGAGACACGCAACATGCCTTCTTAAATTTATTACTAGTACCATTGAAAGAAGATTATTTAGCTCCTCAAAGTATAAATGGGACCAATTCAATAAGTATTTTTCAGCACATATCAAATCAAAAGGAAGTAGAATATGAAATATCCTGATTGTAAGGGGCTACCTAGTAGAGGAGACAGATATAATGGTGATAGTTGATGGAGACCACTACAAAGCAGCCCTGAGCAGGACTTAAATTAACCAATTGGCTTTGCATGTTTACTTGTGAGTCTGTCCAAGGCCTAGGCTCCTTATCTGAAGATGGGCGGTGGACTCATAGTATGTGAACCTCTGGGAGTCACTACTAAGGCCTGTAATGGTGGATGAAACCCGAAAGCCTCAAAGGATAAGATCACAGTCAAGGACACCTGGATCCCATCTCAACTGGATAAAGAGGCCTCTCACTCCTGGGTGGATTAATTTAAAACCTTACTTGGAGAAGTCCTGGCATGGTTCTGCCCTTGTTGAGTACTCCCCTCCCTTCTTTTGATAACTACATAAATACTGGCTACCCAGAGAAGGTTGTGGTCTTATCCCAAGGGAGCCTCAAATTCTGTGAGAGGGCTTTGATCCTCCTAGAGTCCTGAAATCATTCCATTTACCTCTTTTTATTTAGCCTCCGCAGTACACTCATTCAGGAGACTGTGGAACTGATCAGCTTGCAATAATTAAGGGGTATTATTAATCTGATAGGTAGTGGTGGCAGCAGTGATGGTAAAATGTGATAGCTGCTATGAGAGAGGCATATGCAGAAGACTAAGAATAAGGATTTTAAAAATGGCTTACTTCTGCCTGGTCTGAATCAGGAAAATCTATGGCTGTATCAATTTTGGTTTCTGAGAAGCAAATGCCAAGACAAGATTAAACATACAAGAGATTTACTGGAGAGATCTATGAAGGATACAAGGAGAGTAGCCAAGATGAGTGGGGAGTGTGTCAGATTGTGATGTAGTTCTAACCCCTGGGAAGGGGTGGAGGGAGGAAGAATTGAGTAGAAAGTATCTTTAGATGACACTGCTCTGAGAGCACTTCCTTCAGGCCACCAGTAAGTCCCCGGCCAAAATGTGCCCACAGGAAGAATCCCTTGTTGGCTCTAGGACTTTTGCCAGCCTCAGTCATTGGTAGCAGGCAGCCTAGGTAAAGTGTGACCTTGCCATGAACATGAATGTGATTCCAAGGGCCAGCAGCTGACACTGACAGTGAAGTAGGTTCCTGCTGCAAATGTCAAAGAAGTAGACCAAGGGTTAGAAGGATGTCCAAGTGAAAGGAAGAGCTTGAACGAAGAACATGCGTGTGACATACTGAATCCAGGGAGCAACCAGTGATGTTTGATCCAGGGTAGGGTACAGGAAGAATTAAAGTGGCGAGGACACAACCCAGATGGTGATCTGTATATTCTGAAGGCTCTAGCTTTGGGCTTTCTTCTGAGAGTCATGAGCCACCAGAGGGTGCCACAAAAAAGGTAGTGATCAGATAGGGTAGCAGGAAAGCAAAGGGATTATTGATGGGAAAGACATAGGGCAGGGAGCAAAATCTTCAGTTTTCTTTGAAACTAAGCAAGAGGAATGGGAAAATTTGGATGTGGTATCAGCAGATGTTATGGTCTGGCTACAGGCTTAGAGTAAGACAACAAACCAGAGATGACTGTCGTTAAGGTATGAATAGAGCCCTGGTGTCCAGAGAAATGAAAGGGGCTCTCTCTAGATCACACAACCACATCAGGTTTCCTGAGTTTTAATTAATGAAAACAAAAGGCTCAGCAGTTAAAAAATTTGGAGAAGATATCAATAATCCTTCTCTTGAAGATCCAATGTCTTACTAGCATATTTCTTTCCTATGAACATTTTAAAGGCACTAAGTCTGCTGTGACCAAGAGAATGTTCCACCATGTTGGAAATGTTCTACTTTTTGCAGTCTAATGCAGTGGCCATTAGCCACATGTGTGTATTGGGCTGCTGAAATGTGACTAGTGAGACTGAAGAAATAAGTTTTAAATTATTTTAAATTATTCAATTTCCACTGATTTAAAGTTAAATATAAATCAGGCTATATTAATGAGCCCAACAGTCTCCAGAGCTGCAAACCTGGTGGGAAAGTATTCAGTCAACTGCATGGTTCAGCAAGGTGGAGGTGCATTATACTTGATGCACTGTGAGGAAACCCCAGAGCCCCAGGAAGGGAACTTTCAGTGACACACCTATAGGCTGTTGCTGCTGTGAATAACAGAAAGAGAGATGTTGGCAGGGAATGTGCCTTCTAATAAATTCATAATTCATTAATTAAGGAAAGATTGAACATTATACGATTTATTAAGCTGTCATCTCTCAGCTCTGCTCGGAGAACCTGAGTCTGGGACTCTAGAAACCCCATTTCTTTTTTTGCCTACCGCTCCCTCTGAGGTTTTGCAACTAGGCAACTAGGCAGCAGGAGAGAGAGAACCTGGAAAGCTGGAAAGGGAACTCAGAATCCAGGCTGTATACCATTGCTTCCACTATTCTATTCATTTTAAGTGAGGCCCTAAGTCCAGTCCACATACAACAAGTGGTGATTTAACAAGGGTATAATATCAGGAGTCTTGTCCCATCTCAAGCTAGGCAGGGTTGGGCCTCATTATTATTTGGATGGGAGAACGGAAATGTGGTGTGCAGCCTCCCATGGCAGTGGGAGTTGCCCTCATGGCCATACCCAAGCAATGGGACTAGTCAGGGGGCAATACTTCTTCCCTCCCCAAAGCCTTCAAACTACTCAGACCTTGATATCTACATATCCTCTGTAGGTAAGTTCAGAGAGAACTGGATTCCCAGGGAGCAAAAGTCAGAGCAACAGATAGGGGAATGCTAGGTCTGGGGATAATGCATACCTTCTTGAAAGTAAGTTGAAAGTGGATAAAGCTCAGACACTGAGGTGAGACCTATAGTAAAAATATTGGTTTGGGTTTTTTTAAAAAGAGGAATCCTGCTCAAAGGCAGTCCCTTCCAGAGCCTGAATCTCTCCATGTAAAGGGAAGAAGTGAGTAGTACAAGGTGAGTGGCTACAGAAGCCAGGGTGGGTAATCAGCCAAAGGCCAGGCCCCTGCTCATGACGTGGCGGTCACAGTCAGAGTGATCAAGCAAGAGAAATTATAAGAAAACATCAGCTAGGACAGATCACAGAAAGGTAGCTTACGAAAATGTTAGTCACATGACTTGCCGGGCCCCTTTCCTTGCCTTTCTTAAGTTGATGAGTAGGGAAAGAGGTGAGGGAAAAGCTGGCACCTAGATGCCTGAGCAGAGGTCCCTGCAAATGCAGGGAGAGGGAAAAGGAGTTGGCCCTGTGAATGAAGACCCGAGTATCGATCAGTATATGAGCTCACACTCTTCATTATCAACTTCACCCTGTTTGCTCCTTCAAGTGCCACTTCGACTCTCTTTGTCATCTAAACGTGGCTGAAAAAGTCAGGAGGAAGGCCCACTCATTACCCTGGGCAGGATGTAAAGGAACAGTGGGAGACAAAAATACGATGGCTTTGATGATGACGCCCTTTGTTTCCCACAGGTTCAGTATGTTAGTTACACATGAAAAACCAACTCTCTCAAAGGCTCATTACATTTCAATAGCCCGTGACTTCTAAGTGCAAATTAACATTTATTTTATTTATTTAATTAACCTGTAATTACACTTGCTGTGAGCCAGATATCAGTCAAAGCACTTTATCAATATTAATCCATTTAATCCTTAAAAATCTGATCAAGTGGGTACTGTGAGCATTTCCATTTTACTTATGAGGAACACAGGGTAACATGTCCAAGGTCACACAGGTAGAAAATGGTTAAGCCAGGATTTGAACCTGCTCATCCTTGAACCAAGGATGTTTTTAGCCATAATATGTCCACACAAAGGCTGCTCATAAATGATCATGGTGGCATTATCCACAACAGTTAAAAAGTGGAAACCACCCAAATAATCACTAACTGGCAAATGTGGCCCTTTCATACCATGGAATAGTACTCAGCTGAAGAAAAAGGAAGGCCCAACACATGGCACAGCATGGATGAGCCTTGAAAACATGTCACTAAGGGAAAGCAGCTGGATGCAAACACCACATATTGCATTATTTCTTGTGTATGAAATACCCAGAAAATGCAAATCTACACATATAGAAAATAGATTAATTTTTGCTTCAGGCTGGAATTGGAACTGGGATTGATTGCAAAGGGACCTAGTGGAGGAATGTGCAAAACTTCTTCCTAGCCTTTTGGGGCATCTTTTGGGAGTGACAAACATGTTAGAAAACTGTATTGTGGCAATGGCTGCATGATGCAATAAATTTATCAGAAACCACTGAATTGTGCATTTCAAAAGGGTGCTTTCATGATATGTAAGTTATACCTCAATAAAGCTGTTAAAATCACCACCACGAGAAAAAAGAGGGCTAGGTAAGTAGCTCAGTGGTAGAACACTTGCCTACTATGTGTGAAGCTCTGGATTCGACCCCCTACACTGGAAAGAAAGAAAAAGGTTGTTCTAGAAAAGCCCTAGGAACACTGGATGGAAGAGATCCAGGCCAAGAAGTTGCCCAAAGCCTTTGGCTCTCCTGCCAAGGCTAAGATGGCCTCAAAGCATTTACAAGGAAAAGCCCCACCATATCTACCTGTCCCAGAGTTCTGTACCAACCAGATGAGATTTCTTTACAGAACTGCTCTTTTGCAAAGAGTAATTATATACAAGGGAATTTCCTAACCAAAATGAGACCCCTTCTTTATTATCCCCCAAACATCATTGCATTATTTTGAGATGCAAAATTCATGCCTCCTCAAGTCAATTACTTGGGAAATGTGATATGCAATAATGAATTATACATGGGTTTTCTTTGTGACTTTTTTTTCTCCTTGGGGATGCTAATTATAAGATAAATTGTTGAGGGATTTTATGTTTCTGAAATAACTCCTTGTCGTATCAGAGCCTCTCTTGCTACATATTGCCAAGCTAATTGGTGGCTTCCAAAGAGGAGCAGGATATAAGTTGTTTCAACTAGGGTAGTAAAATGCTAAGAGAGGAAAAACTGGCCAGCCCTACATATATTCATATGTAAATATGATGTAAGTATATGTATATTTATACCAGAAATAATAATAAATGAAAATTCAACATGTTCTTCCTGTGAGAAATTCTGATAGTGCCTTGGTGTGGTATTTTCCTATTTTGAGATGCACATACACCCCCTTGTGTTACAGCTAAAAAGTCATTTTTGATGTATTAAATTTCCCTTTTGATGGAAGCACATCTCCATTGACTATGGGCATCCAGCAGCTGCCACATAACTCTCTTGTTGAAGAAAAGTCCTTCAAAGCTGAGATACTGTTCACTAAAAATAAGGTCCAACCTGTCCATTACATAGTTTTGGTGACTACAGAGATAAAGATCAGTCATCGGCCTTTTATAGCTTATTTCAGAGCTTTTAAGCATAGGTAGCTTTTGAGTGGTATTTTACCTATTGGTCTGGTAATTAACAACTGGTTTGGTAATTTTATGTCACCCTTTGAGTCCATTCTCTCTCAGCATTGAAACTGTTCCATCACTGACATATACAAAAGAAAATGCAACTCCTTAAATCCACTTAAAACTTCATATTCCCCCAGAAAAATTAGCCTCCCTGGGATACATAATCATATCAAAACACAAGGTGTCAGAATTCACTAAGGTAACAGGCTATTTTTATAACAAACCCCAATAAAATGTTCTAATCTGTTGTCTGACGGGTACTGTTATTCAGAATTACACGAGTTTGAGTAATGTGCTACCAGCACTGTCATTTTGCTGACTGGATGAGAATCCCTCAGGAAAGCTCAGCGGAGCCTTCTATCTACCCAACTTCTGAGAGGCAAAGTAGAATGTAGAGCAATCTTGTTGCCATAAGTAGCCAGCTAAGTGTATCCCTTTGATATTACTACAACAATTTGCGGTCAGGACAACACACTATCCACACAAAGTATCAACTATCACTTTATGCTGGGAAGGTGCCCTGTGAGTACCTCTCACATAACCATAGCTTAACTCCAAGGTAGCTATCGTGCCAGGCTCTGTAAATGTCCCTGCTTACCTGCACAGGTATTTGTGCATGGGTTCAATGCTGCGAGGCATTTGGAGGTTCCAAAATCGGAGATTTTTACCAGTCCACTGTAGCTATTTATCAGAATATTATCACCCTTCAGAAAAAGAACAGCATTGAGTGTTTAAAGACAGGTATAAACAAATGGACATGACACAGTTTGGGACATTGAGACAGTGTCTCCAGGAAGACTGTATTTTTCACTTGGGGTGTAGTCTTGCCACATCAGCCCCCTCTATAAGCAAGTCTCTCAGCACACACTACACAGATAGCCTTCACGACCCAATGGGAGCTAAATGCCATGGGTCTAGACAAGCCAATACCTTTATGTCTCTGTGCACTATATGGTTTTCATGGAGATACTTCAGGCCTTCCAGGATCTGCTTGGTGTAAAACTTGATAACGGCTTCCTCTATCGGCCCCCATTTGGATCGCAAGAGAGCAGAAAGGCTTTCTAGAAACACCAACACAGCAAAACACAAATCAGTGTGAAAAAAATTGAACTGTAAGAGTTCAGGGAAATAAGATGGGGTAGGATGTAAGCTGATATAAGCACTTACACCAGCATCGTCATTGTCATATCTGGCTCAGTGTAACACAATTCTTCCTTCTCTAAAGTCCCAACCAAAGAAAAGACGGGAGGTAATAAAGAGGACCTCCTGTGATCCCTGAAATTCAGTGGGGCCAACTTTGGGCTTAGCTCTGTTTAGTTGCACAACATCAAGAGAAACAATGCTCTCTGAACTCAGAGGTATGACCTGCTATCACACATTACTTGGGTCATGTGACACTTGCTATATAACCAACTTGGCCATTCTACTTCGATCAAAGCCATATTTCACACCTCATCCGATAGTCAGAGGCAGACAAGTCTACAGTGAAGGGCCCTTGCAAGTGACAGGGACTAGAATCAGAGGAGGTGATATCTGTCTGTCCTCACTGTAAGAAAGCCTCAAAGGCAAGTTCCAGGGTAAGACTGTCTGACTAGCAAGCCCTTCCCCATTATTCCAATAAGCACTGAACTTTTGGGCTAAAAGAAAACCTCCCTCTGAATGTTCCTACCACCTGTCCCAGAGATGGTGGTGTGAGTGCAGGCGGGCCTTCCCGCTGGCAAGAATCGGCCCTCCATGCATCAGCTGTACTGAGCTGTGCCACTCTCCAGTGCTCTGGGACCTTGCCATACTTTAGTTTCCCCATCTGTGAGAGAGGATGGATACCTACCTCTAATCTTGTCACCTTTTAGCCTAACACCTGGAACAGTGACAAACGTGAACAGCAACATACATGTTTTTGGCTACACTATAAGCTACCTAAGGAAAGAGAGAGTATTTGTCCTTAATCTAGCCTTAAGTCTAGCCTACTGCTTAGCTCTTAATAGAGTTATACTCTTAAAGTAATGTTAGTCTCTTAATAATCATTGCTTGAATAAATATAAATTTCTAACTAAAGGTTTTACATCTGCATTCAAATGATTATAATTGTTATTTAATGAAAATATTTTGTGAATTTTTTTATTATTTAATGGGCAGCTATTTCCTGGGCTTTTGCTTGCTGCCAGGCACTATTTGAAAAACTATACATATATTACCTCATTTAATTCACCCGATGATCCATGGAGATAGGGTTATTACTCCAGCAATTATCACCACAATTATAGTAACTATTATTACTCCAATTTTATAATTTATTTATTCAACCAGAAAACTGAGGGCACAGAGAAAATAAGTTTCCTGAGGTCACACAGCTTATATGTGGCTGAACTGATTAAAACTAGACAGTCAGCTCCATATCCAAGGAACTATTTCTTATCTCTTATATTCTATTCCCCACATTTAGGGATTTTGTGGAGAAAGTCCTGATATTTGATTTCATTATCAATATGTTATTTTATAATGTCACTTTGATAGTCTGTGTCCCCTGATTTCCAAATCACCTTTAAATTACTAGACTCTGAAGAGACAGGAAACTCTGCTTTCTTCATCTCTTTGTCCCCAGTGCTGGTACCCAGTAGATATGCAGTGAGTATTTGTGGGTTGAATAAACAAAGTAGAAATAGACTATTTATGTGACATTTCAAAAGTTTGTAGAATTTTTTTTAAAGAAACCAATGTTTTCCAACCTCTAAAAGGTCTGTAATTTTCAAATAGCAGAACAATTAGTGATGCCCATATTGTATTTACATTAGTGATTTTCAGAATACGAAACCAGAAAACACTGACCACTCACCTCCAGCCACCTGCTCCATAAAGATCTTAACGTACCCACCCTCAGAAACAGAGCCCAGGTACTGGACGATGTTGCGGTGTTTGAGGTACTTGTTCAGGGCTATCTCCTCATGCAGAGGTTGAGCGTACCTATTATAAAAAAACAAAGCCAGTGTCACCTGCCAAATCCCAAGGGCTCTAGACCCCACAGCACCTCACCAGTGGCTTCCCTACTGCTGGCCATCCCTTCTTTCTGGAAACTCACTCTCCCTTGCCTTCCATGAAACTACTCAGCTTCCCATCTGTAAACTGGGGAATACAGGCCGAGCATCCCTAATGCAAAGGCCCCAAATCTGAAATGTTCCCTAATCTCCAATTTAGCCACGTATGGTGGTACAGGACTATAATTGCAGCACTCTGGGAGGCTGAGGCAGGAGGATTACAAGTTCAAACCAACCTAGGCAACTTAGTGAGATCCTGTCTCAAAAAATAAAAAAAAGAGCTAGCTCAGTGCAAAGGCCCCCAAGTTCAATCCTTAATACTGCAAAATACATACATACATACATACACACACACACACACAAAAAAAAAAAAAAAACTTCCAAAACTTCTTCTCCCTGGTACTTGGGATTGAATTGAAGGTGTGGCACATGCTAGGCAAGTGCTCTACTACTGAGTTGTGACTTAAGTTGCCCAGGCTTGCCTTAGACTTAAGATCCTCCTGCCCCAGCCTCTCAAGTAGCTGGGATTACAGGAATGTGCCACCACAACCAATTCAAAATCTGAAACTTTTAGAGTGCTAACCTAACTCCACAAGTAGGAAATTGTACATCTGACCTCATGTGATGTGTCACAAAACACAAACACACTATTAACCAAAAATGACCTTCAGACTGTGTATCTAAAGTGTCAAAAAATGAAGTTTATGTTTAAATTTGGGTCTCATGCCCAATAAGCTTCATTATATATATGCAAATGTTCCAAAACCTGAAAAAAAATCTCAAATCCAAAACACATCTAGTCTCACACATTTTGGATAAGGAATATTCAAGCTGTAAGAATACCAGCCACGTAGGACTTCTGGGGGCCAAAGTGCATCAAGGCACTCTGGCACCCAGTGGAGGGCCTGGTTTGTGGTAACCACTCAACAACTGCTGTTCTTACTATCATTACTGCTAAGGCCTGAACTCTCCAACCATTTTTTTACCTTTCAACAATCCATCTCCTCTGCCTCTTATGCAGGGTGGTATTCTGGAAGATTCCATCTTCAGCTGCTTTCCAGTCTTACTTTATAGACTGACCACAGACCACTCTAGCAGCTACCTAATGTGTCATCTAGCCTCAGTCTCTGGACATTGTAGTTCATCATTCCTCATCCCTGGGGCTATGTCTTCTTTTTTTTTTTTTTTTTTTTTTTTGTTTTTCTCCGGTACCGGGAACCGAACTCACGACCTTGCGCTTGCCAGGCAGGCGCTTTGCCGCTGAGCTAAATCCCCAGCCCCGAGCTATCTCTTCTTGAAACACACATATCACCATACCATTTCTCTCTATAAAGTCCACATAAAAACTGTACTGTTTTATGTGGCACACAAAAACTTTCAAAATCAGGCCAGATGATGCCTTATATTTGCCTCAAGTGCCCTCCATTGCCCACATCCTACATCCAAGCCATTATAAAAAAAAAATTGCTCTCTGAACATGTTCTGTGTTTTAACAGTTATATTTTCTCCTAAAGTAAGTCTCCTTTTTCTGCCAAGTAAACTCCTACTCATCCCTCAAAGACCAGCTCAAAATTGATTTGTTTTTTCAAACTGGCTACAACTCACACAGGAAAACTCAGCCCACCTCTGTGTTCTAAAAATACTCTGTATACCCTTCTATTATGGCACTTGTCACTTTGACTCACAGGCATCTGCTCACAGGCACTGCTCACCTAACTGGTAACACCCTGGGATCAGGACAATATCCTAGTAACTTTTCAGTCCTCACAGCCAGCTCAGAACCCAGCAGAGAAAAGGTTCTCACTGTTAAATTAGCCAGCAAATGTATAGTTGGAGAAAATGATCTCTAAGGCCCCTTTCTGGTCTAAAATCCCAGGAACTGCTATGGGCAATGAACATCTGGAACTACCAGTGCTACCAAATGAAAGAGGTGGCATATGCCAGGAATTTCCCCAAATCTATACAACTGTAGCACCTTATATATCACAAGAATGAGAGACAGAATACCAGATCCTATTCTTGTTTCTACACATCCTTGTAGGAGTCATTTTATCTTCTGCAGCCTTGGTTTTCATACTGGTAAAATGAAGAAACTGCACTAGTTCATTTCAGGTCTTATCTTATAAATCACATAATCACAGCATACTCTCTCTTTGAAAATCAACAAATGAAAGACTTAACAAAGGATCTTAATTGGTATGAATCACTAACTGTGATGTGCACCCACCCTTAATCAGTCAGTGATCACCTTGTTGGAGGGCCGTAGGCACATACCCCTGGGTAAAGTTGAAGGCCAGACTATTTTTTAAAACTCTGTTTTGGAAAAATCTAATGTTTTATACTGCTTTTAATTTTCCGTAATGATGTATCCAAACAAATCAAAATCATTTTTCAGCTGTTCCAATGGGAACTTAAAAACACTCAGTACAAGGTGGAGATGTAGTTCAATGGTACAGCACTTGCCTAGCACCCTCAAAGCCCTGGGATTGATCCCAGGATTAAAAAAAAAAGTGTTCAGTCACATTTAAAAACATTTGGAAACAACTACACAGAACATAAAACCCCAGGAGCAGTTAATGGGTAGAAACACACTTTTCTTTTAAAATACAACTTTCTGCAATCCAAGACCTCCAAGTGAAGCTGTTCCATTTTCTTAATCTAATTCTAACACAGATAGAGCAAAAGAACATCATCCTTATTACAAGAGAATTACAAGTTTTGTGACAACATAATGCTTTCATTCTTAAATCCTCTGCGCTCTCGGTAGTGGGCCTGGGATTTGAGGGGCTGGATGTTAAGTGCAGAATGTGGAAGCCCCCAACTTGCCTGCAGTCTCTCTCTGGAATTTCCTTGATGGCTATGCTCACTTGATTCCTCAGATCTTGGCCAGCGTACACAATTCCATAGGTGCCTTGTCCCAGGACAATTCTTTCCCCATTTGCATCATGGTCATACTCATACTAAAGCAGGAAAGACAGAGGGACAAAAAAACCCTTCATATAACCTGAAGTAAAGAAATCCCCCAGAAGGTCAAAAGTTGTCTAGCAATTTTTATAAAATTCATAAATATTATTTGAGTACTAAGCAAGTCATGATTCTTAGATTATATACCTTTCACTCAATAATGACTCTCAGTGGTTCATATATTTATAGCCTTCAAGAAAATTGAAAATATGAATCACATATAACTTACCTGGTTCACCTTTTAAAGACTTCTTGCCATTTTAATGCTGTAAGTTAAAACCTCTTCTAAGCATGTTCAGTACTCCAAATAGTGTCCCTATCAACTTGTCAGGAAACAAACCTCTTTCAATATCCCAGGAGAGAACTGAAGGTCCATAAAGTTATCTTAATACAGAGACATAGGCTGGATTTTACTCTTCTTTCAGTAGTATAAATCTAGCACATACCACACAAATTCAATTTACAATTACTATGGCTATATTGTTGCTTCAGTCTTATCACCAAAAGCTGTTACACACAGCTGCATGTGAGTTGATTTGAGTAATAAAGATGACCACAGAGGCTGAAAAACACTTATTTAAAGCAGAGAGGAAGGAATGCATACTTCTATTGTTTTGCATGTTCCACTTTTATCTACTTACTGAAATGCAGTTTATTCACAGAACAGTTCCTACTTCTAAGGTTGCTCATGACAATTAAGATAACTAAAGGGTCTCCATCATTGTTGGATTTAACTAGGAATTGGCATGCTCCCTAAAAGATTTTTTTATCTTACACCTTTCTCTGCTCCCCTACATATACTGTCTTCAATGTCCATCACTCAGTTCGTTTTGAGTCTATGCTAATAACTCTAGTACTTGACTCAATCATTAACATGAAGTCCCTTAATAATTTCTGAAGGAAACATCAAGGAATTCATTTCACTCTAACTTGGAAGTATAAAATCTCATTAAATTGTAATCATTGGGAGAAACTGAGTTAATGTCAAAGTAATAACTGTACAAGATTTAAATATATGTAAAGTAGTATAGTACCTGTGGACTACAACTTTCTAGTCCAAAGGAGCTTATGATAATCCTAGTTTCTTAAAAAAGATTTAAAAACTGTTATATTTAATATACTATATGCACATAGATATAACTACAGTCATTTTAAATGAAAAGGCCTGCTTCTAGCTGGCAATTTCCTTTGTACTCTCACAAATACTATCAGTTAGCCTAATAAAAACTTTTTCACAGGCTGTACACAAAAGAAAATTTTAGTCTGATCCATGGCCAAATTTTTCTTAAAAATTCTGACTAAAGTGATCTCAAGGCAATGAGATTCCCTATAACAATATATTAGTTTCTGACAGCCATGGGTGGTGACAGCTGCCTAGTTCAGAAATTAGCATTTTAAAATATGCTCAATAAAAGATTTTTACATGAATATTGGGATATGTACTTTAAGCATCAAAAATAGAATAAGGAACTCTTTCCAAGTTTTAGGCCTTCTGTGACTTACTTGTAATGTGTCTCCATTACGACCTATGTCCAGATCCACTGTAGGGCCCGCTGTACTGTGTAGCATATCTCTGACAAAATAGCAAAACCTAGAACAATAGATGTCACAAAGATGCTGCCCATTAGGATCACGCTGGTTATTCACCTTTAACTTAGCCTTATTAAAACAGTGATGCTGAACCTTTGCAAGCTTTCAATGATACAACAGCCTGCTACGGCATGCCCACCATAAGCTCGCCACCACTGTATTAAACTGTATTGAAGCATAAGTCAATCTTTTACAAACCATGGAACAATCAGTTCACTCCGTGATTTGACATGGTACTTCAGTGTTCATCTAATCTAGGCCCAATACCCGCGTGGCATTTGAATCTTCTCTATACACTATCTCCACCAACTATGGACAACAATAACGCTGAGCACCTCCAGCAACAGAGTACTTGTTATCTCCCAAAAGCAGTTCAGTCCTTGAAGAACTCACTCAAAAATGTTTTTCCTTTTATTGACCTGAAAATTTCTTTGATGTGTGTTCCAGTAGAGACTGCTTAGAGTCCACTCCTTTTGTGTTTATATACCACATTTTCTTCCATCATCAGCTGATGGGCACTTAGGTTGTTTTCATGCCTTGGTTACTGTGACCAGTGCTGCAGTAAACGTGGGAGGACACATGTCTCAGACAGATTTTAGGTGAGAGTATAAAAGTGGTTGCCAAAGGCTGGAGAGAGGAGTAGGAACAGAGGGAGGGGGAAAGCTGATCAATGGGGACTAAGTTATAGTTAGATGGGAAAAGAAACCCTGGTGTTATACTGAAGAATAGGGTGACTACAGATAACAGTTATGTACCATATATATGTTTTGAAAAGCTAGAAGAAAGGATCTTGAATATTTTCACCATAAAGAAATGATAATTGAGGAAATGGACATATGTACTCTGATTTTATCGTTATACAAGGCATACATGCCTCAAACATCATGGGGTACTCAACAAATAAATGAATTTATTTCATGTATCAGTTAAAATTAAATAAGAATAAATTTAAAAAGAATTAATCCTTTTTCTATATAACAGTGCCCATTAGCAATGTTCATACTTTTATCCTGTCCATCTAAGTCTTCTTGTTTCTTCACTGTTTCCCTCAGGACTCATGAGTCACTCCACGAACAGTTAATTGTTCAAATATGTCCCTGCTATTCTTCAAGTCTGACCCTGATGCTAGCATTCCAGGGGTGGTCTAATCAGTGCTAAGAACAGCAGGACCATCCCTTCTCAAGGTGTAGACAGTGTAGTGCTCAGTGAGATATAAGATCTTGTATAAGGGGACAAAATGCATAAGGTTGCTACATTATTTCGTTAATGTAGCTTTTTAATAACAGGATGTTCTGCCTCATATTTAACAGCATTTTTCCCTGCTGTAACTTGAAGGTTGTAACTCAAGGATTCCCTAGTCTGATATTTAATCTGATTAAGTATGTTGTGATAATGATCATCTGAGACATAATGAGTTAAAATTTCCTCAAATTATATGATAGAAACAGTCATACTAGGAATAAAAGAACTTCCTCAACCCACTAAAGGCTATCCATGAAAAACTGGCTGATGACAGCATACCTAATAAGGAAATCCTGGCTGCTTTCTCTTTTCGATCATGAACAAGATAAGGCTGTCTACTCTCACCACTTTTATCCTACATTATACTGCAGATTCCAGCCAGAGTGACTAGGCGAAACAAAAACAAAAACAAAAAAACAAAGGCATCTAGGTTGGTAATGAAGAATTCTGACTATATCTGCAGATGACATGACCATATAGATAAAAACCCTAAGAAATTCAATAAAAAGTACTAGAACTAATAAGTTCAGCAAGGTTGCAGGTTACAAAATCAACATACAAAGATCAAGTGTATGTTTATACATTGGAAACAACCCAAAAGTGAAATTAAGGAAACAATTCCATGTACAGTAGCGTCAAGGGAATGAAGTACTTAGGTATATATTTGACAAATGATGTGCAAGACCACAAGTCTACTCTGAAACTATGAAACACTGTTGAAAGAAATTAAAGAAAGACTAAATAAAAAGGCATCTTATATTCATGGATTGGAAGAAAACATGATAATATGGCAATGCTCCCGAAATGATCTAGATAGACAACATGCTTTCTGTGAAAATTTTAGCTTTTTCCTCAAATTGATAAGATAATCCTAAAATTCTCATGAAAATGCAAGCATCTACAATAACCAAAGCAACCTTGAAGAACACAAAGTTGGAGGACTCACATTTCTTGTTTTTACAACTTTTTACAAAGCTGCAGTAATCAAATGATAGGCATATAGATCAATAGAATCGAACTGAGAGTGCAGACATAAACTCCTAATGGTTATCATATATTCTAAGACTTCCAAGACCATTCAGTGGGGAAATAATAGTCTTTACAACAAATGGAGCTCAGACAACCACATATTCATATGCAAAAAGAATGAAGTTGGATTCCCTATCTCACACTACTTTTTTAAAAAATAAAAAATGGATTAGAGACTTAAATATGAGCTAAAATTATAAAACTCTCAGAAGAAAACATAAAAATTGTTGAATACCTTGGGTTAAGCATCTTCTGAGGTATTAACCAAAAACACAAATGACAAAAGAAAAAATAGATAAAATGAACTTCAGCAAAATTAAAAACTTATGTTGCAAGTGTTACCATCAACAGAGTAAAAAGACAACTCATACAACAGGAGAAAGCATTTGCAAATCTCATCCTAATTAAGAGTCTTGCATAAAGAATATATAAAGAACTCTTAAAACTCGACAATTGGAGGAGGGGAACAAAGGAGGAAGGAGGGGAAAGAAAGAAAACCTAAACAATCACAAAGACAAATAGCTTGATGAAAAATGGACAAAGTTGGAGAAACCTGGTAAATACCACTTTCACCAGCTGATCTATTTAACATCACCAGGAATCACAAAAAGATACCGTATATTCCCTATGAAGTGCTGAGAAAGTTGCAGTATCGCTTTCACCCAAAATGTGTCACATGAGTGTATTCACGAGTAAAGAGCAAACCATTCCAAATCAAAGGACCACAGAACACATTTTTCCTGTACTCTCTGAAAGTATTAAATCAAGAAAGACAAAAACTGATGATGACCTCTTCCAGATGAATAGAGACTATACAGACATGATAATTATAACATGTGATCATGGATTGGACTGTGGACCAGAGGGAAAAAATTTTTGTTTTCCTATAATAGGCATGAGAGAGGCAGTAAGTAAAATTTGGATATGGTTTCTAGATGATAATATCATGTCCATCGTAATTCATGATTAGATAACTACTGAAATTACATAAGCTGATATCCTTGCTTTTAGAAAGTATACCAAATTATTTAGAGAGAATGCAGCATTATGTCTACAACTTACTCTTACATAGTTCAGAAATAAGAAACATATACATATAAAAAATGTAAAACAAATGTGGTAAAGGGTTAATACTGGAGAATAAGAGTCTGGCAGTTTCTCAAAGGGTTAGAGTTATCATAAGACCCAACATTTTGATGCCAGAAGAAAAAAAAGCATATGTTCTCATAAAAACTTGCATGTGTATATTCACAGAAGCAAAATTAATAATCAAAAATGGAAGCACCCCTGATGCCTATCAATTGATGAACAGATAAGTAAAATGTGGCATATTCATTCAATGGAATATTATTCAGCCACAAAATAGCAATAACGTATCAGTATAGTACAACAGGGATAAACCTTGAAAGCACAATGCTAAGTGGAAAAAGCCAGTCACAGAAAAACCATATATTTTATGACTCCACGTATACACAATGTCTAAAATGGGCATATTCAAAGAGAAAGGAGAATGGTGATTGCACAGGGCTGGGTTACCGGGCTGAGGTTGGTGGAAATGGGGAGCAACTGCTAATGGATATTGGTTTTCTTTGAAGGAGTGATGAAAATATTCTAAAATTAGAAAGTGGTAATGACTGAAGATTCTGTAAATATACTAAAAAGTTGAGTTGTAGTCTGTTGCAAGGTATGTGGATTATATCTCAAAGCTATAAAGGTAATTTTCTGTAAGTTAAAATTTCAAGAAAGCTATTAAAGCAAATATTTTTCACAACAAAGGTCCTTAAAAAGGGATTCACTATAGATTGTAATTACCTGAATTAGCGACTAACTCACCTGATACACCGGTTTTCTGTTGAAAAGTAGAGTTGAAAGTCATCAGAATTATTGTAGATATAAAGAAAACAGCACCGTTCATCAACCCTGGAGACACTGTAATTCAAAACGTAATGTTTATACATAAGATACCAATTTTAAGTTTTTGAGAAAATATAGTAATAGATTTTCTTTCATTTTACAAATTCCTGACTTATTCATCTTTTAACAAATAACCCCCAAATTTGCCCTTTAGTTCTAGATGAAATTTCAATACCAGAGATATTTATCTTGCTTATGTTTGAGTTGGTATTTATCAACTGACTTTAATTTGTATCAAGAATTTCCTCTATACTCACTGCTAAGCTAAACATATGGGTAACACAAAGGGTATAAACATAGTCTCTACCCTCTAGAAGTTTACAATCTCAAAAAGGCAAGTATTTGTGAAGTAATTTATTATGGTATCAAAGGCACTTCTAGACTTGGAAAATACCAGGACATGGTATTTATGGTCACATGATGTCAACAGAAATAAATATTATAGCTTAGCTCAAGAAAGGCCTTCAAATACAATCTGATACATCTACACCCTATATCTGGACCCGACTCTACAGTCTCTCAGATAAGGAGCATTCAATTTGCCTGAACATGTCCAGTGAGAGAATGTAATCACATTCCATCTGCTGACAGATTTCACTGTTAGAAAGTTCATCACTCACACTCAAAGTTTCTGCAATGGCCCTCATTCTGCCAGGTGGCGCTATACAGAATCAGGGTAGATTGATTCTCTTCTATGAGTAGATCTCCAAACAAATGAAGCCACTTTATCAGGCCTCTTCTAAGTCATCTCCTGTGAGACCTAACACTTCCACTCTATGCTACGGATGACATGACAAAGTGTTGAAAGCACAATCATCAGTGTAATTAAAGATAATTAAGGTTACGTTATCCAATAGTCCAGTGTGATTAAAAATAATGAGAGCTACCTCATACCTGATTAAGCACTACAAACCAATCTGTAAAGGAACTATCACAGTTCATTAGACAGCAGTGGGAATGCCCAAAGCATACCCCTCGTGTCATATCAGTACCAAGTTCTGAGTCACCTCAGGCCCTTGGTTGAAATGGCAGCTAGAGGTGTCTCTGTGAGAGGTACAAACAGCAGGTCCCTGACTACATGTTCTTGTCAGTTCCATCACCAAGTAATCAAGTAAGGTCAACTTCATCACCAAGTAATCAAGTTTTGAAAATATTCAACATTTTTTGATCACCTTTAATTTTGGGGCAATATCATCCAAATTTATTACTTTACTTTTATTATTCCCCTCTCAATTTTACCATTTCACTTTTATAATTAGCCTATTTTATTTTTTTCAATTTTTATTTTTTATCAGTATATTTGCAGTAAATAATGATTACATTCTTAGTGCGAAACTGTACTGTGTCTGCAAGTAACTGGGGATTCCTTCAGTGCCTTGAGGTAGCATTAGAATCAGAGAAAAAGACAGAAAGATCTAGTCTAAGCTCCTGATTTGATAAAAAACAGAAGAAACTGAGACTTTGAGAGACTTGGTGACTTCCCAATGTCACACAGTATGCAGGTATTACAAGTCACATCTGCTTTAGAGCCACTCCTACCCTTAGACATGCTGCAAGGGTGACGAGTACAGTTATGGTGTAGCTGTACTTGGGAAAGCTATATTTAGATTTAGTTCTGCTTGGGGAAAGCCAGGAATGGTCACCACTCCTGATTCAAAAAGCAAGTACCACACTTCTTGGAATACCATTTCCCTCCCTAATATCAATACGCCTGGCTCCCCTTCTTTTCCAGGAGGCCCCATTAAAGTGCCATTCATAAATAACTTCTGGATTTAGCTCTTGGGGTCCCTGAGCATGTGAACATTTCTGGCCCAAGGAAGATACATTTTCTCTTTTTAAGGATGCAACTTTTGAGGATGTAAGTTTGAGACAAAAGAGGTTCTGCTGCTAGACATGAGAAAAGTTACTTTGTTCTAACAAACCAAGAAACTCTCACTGGCTACATTGTAAACCTTGGGCAGAGGAACAAAACGGAAAATAATCTATTTTGGGCCCCATTATAAATAAGAACATCACATCTTACAACTAGGAAGAAACAATAAAGTATGTAAAACATTATCATTAGCTGGGCATGGTGGTACACACCTGTAATCCCATGGTGGTGCACACCTGTAAACTCCTGGCAAGGCTGATGCAGAAGCCAAGCCTAAGCAACTAGTGAGACTCTGTCTCAAAAGTAAAAAAATTTTAGAAAGAGCTTAAGATATAGCTCAGTGTGAAGGCCCTGGGTTCAATCCTGACTACCACAAAACAGCAACAGCAGAAGCAGATTATCATTATTATTTGTATTAAAGTAATAGTTAAATTTTCTCTTGTGTTCTTACCTTATTCCCCTGATAGAAGAGGCGGTAAAATTCCATTCATGGACTTGTGTCTGCAGGTATCAAAGACAGAAATCAATGGCTTGATTTTGCCAAAGATCATTTTTTAAGATTCATTCTAAGATCAATCGTTTCTGCTATTCAGAGGTTAGGTGTTAGAACAATGTACTTCATACCACTTGGAAAACCAAAAACACTTTCTATTGTATAGAAAAATTCACTAGTAAGTCTAATCCAGTTTGAAGCAGACAATATAAATTTGAAATAATAATTTGACAAACTGAGCAGTCTCTCACCATTTATCAATACGGTAGGTAAACACTAAAACACATTTGGAAATAACCCACCTAGGTTGAATTACTTGCAAAAATGTTCGAAGAAGCATAACTGTGACAGATACCCTTCAGTGTTCATTAATCATTTCCTTTTCTCTCTGAGCACATGTCTAAATTACATTTCCCAGCCTCCTTCAAAGTTAGGTGGAGCTATATGACGGAGTTCTGACCAAAGGTTATGAGCAGGAGTGGTGTGCACCACCTGCTGGCCTGGCCCATGAAAACCTCCACAGCACTCCGCATCTTTTTCTCCGGCCACTACAAGATGGAGCAGGGCTTCCTGCCAACCAGGCTACAATATGAAGCACAGACAAAGTTATATTAAGATGTTGAGATTTGGCAGCTATTTGTTGAAGCAGCTAGTCCACCATGACTAACAGAAAAACTGGGATTTCTATCTGTACTGAGATACTCAAAAAAGGAAAACAACTCTGTCCTTCCCTCTATTTCCCTTCCTTAAACTTTGCACAAAGCTAAGCCTCATTAGGACTATCTAAAATCTAGTTTTAGAAAAGCTAGGGGCTATACCATCAATAGATCACAAATGTAGAAAATAACTTTACATAGGAAAATTCATTTGACTTCATGTTGCTTGAAAATGAACACTGGGAGTATTTACTCCATGGAAATATGTGAACACCGTAAATCAGCCCACACGGAAAATCAGCTTGCACCCCCCAAAAGTGGGTTGTTCAACCTTTACCAACATACTACTGTGCCCTTATTTCGAAGAATTTTTGAATCTTTGGCTAAAATATTACGAACTTAATCTCATTTTACAGTTATGTTGCAGAAGTTATATGCATGTATGTGTGTATTCTCTTCCCACCATCCACTAGAAAAAAATGCAAATTAATAGAAAAATGACATCTCCGTCAATGAAAATCTGTTTGTTTTTCGCAATGTGTGGAATTTCAAAACTGTAAATGAAGGCAAACGTGAAGATCCATTTCAAAGGAAAAGGCAATAACTGTGGGCACTTGTGCAAAACATTTTATCCGTCAAAGAAAACTAGTATTTGTCACTTAAGAGTTCTTTTCCATTTCTTATTACAGACTATATACAAACAAAGTAAAAGATTTGCAACTAGTGAGATATCATATGTACCAACAGAAATTTCTATTAAGAGCCAGCAATCATTATATGATTCAAAATAGAATGTCATGAGATCAAACTGGTAGAATATCATGAGATCAAAACCATTTTGCTTTAAAAGTATGAAGAGTCACTTTAATATCATTAGTTTTTTTCTGCAACCACTCCTCAAAATATGAGTTATTTTCCATCTTTATCAATGAAATAGATTACAGATTCAAATTTTGAAAATTTTCTTTTATGACAGTGGCATCAACAACACAAACAAAGTAAACAAGGTTGGTATCTGGCTCAGGAATTTCTGAATTGAGAACAGGGTGCTCTGTGGAGTTGGCATCTGGAGGCCTGCACAAAAGGAATAGGAACAAGATCTGCAGATTATTTTTTCTTGACCTGTGCTGGCTACTGAAGTGAGTTCACCTTATAAAACTCCATCAAACTATACATTTATGATTTATGTAGTTTTCCATGTGTATGTGATACAGATGGGATATCCTTATCTGAAATACCTGGGGCCAGAAGTGTTTCAGATTTTGCAGTTTTTCAAGAATTTATAATATTTAGCTGGATGTGAACTGTAATTCCAGCACTTGGGAGGCTGAGGCAGGAGTGTGTGAATTCGAGGCCAGCCTGGGCTACACAGTAAATTCAATGCCAGCCTGGTCTACATATCAAGACCCTGTCTCAAAAAACAAACAGACAAAAAAGATTTTGTAATATTTTCTGGTTGAGCATCCTTGAAAATCTGAAATGTGAAATGCTTTAAAATCCAAAACCTTCTGAACACTGCCATTGAAAAGGTTTTCGATTTTGCAGCATTTCAGATTTTTGAGTTAAGGAGGCTCAATCTATACTGCAATACAAGTTTATTTAAGAAATAAAAACAGTTAAAAGATATGCTCATTCTTCTGAGATTAATTTGTATGAATGACATGTGTGTACTTTATTATAGCTTGAGTTTTCTCATTTACACTCAAATTATTTAATATACACAGATCAGGAAAAAAAAAGCACAAGCGCATCGTGGCAGTCCCTTCACACTAACGGCTGTTGACTCTATTTCCAATGATATGAAGATTGCTCACATGTTAGTATGGACAAGATTACTGGCCTTCACTTGAAATATCATGACTATATCTGATAAGCAGTCTCCAATATGAATTTAAGCTTCTGCTTGTTCTACAATGTTACATTTTTATTTTTGAAGATAGGGTTTATTTTTACCTGATTACAATGTAATTGTTCACACTCTGCTTCCAGGAAGAAAAGTTATCTTCCTTTGCCAAGTTAATAGCAGAAATATTCCCATACTTCATGGAAACACATGCATAGCAAATAAATCTATCTAAAGTGCTTCTCAAAGGTGCTATGTTTCTTTATTACTGCAAAAATTATTTTAAAAACTGATGAAATACTTTTATCGCTATCAGCCTAAAACTTCAGATCCAGCTGAGCATTTCTGTAAACTCTTTAATGGGCAATTACAACCTCTCATTGCATGTATTCCTGGTACAAGTGCAGATTGGAAGGGTATGAATTTGATAGTAATTTTTAAAAAGGCAAAAATATGATAGTAACTATTAGAAATTCAAGCACAAGTACCCTTAAGTCTAGCAAGCCCATTTCTAGGAATCTCTGCCTGAAAATGCTTCTATAAACATGGGAGGATGGAGCCACCAGAATAAAAACTGCCTTATCACTGGCTAGAGTGAAAAGTGGGGATCTAAATACCCATCAGTAAGAAACAGGTAAAATAAAGTAGGTTCATCGATACCAGGAAATACATCATATGATATGGAAATACAGGAACTATGATATTTAAGAAATCAGGTGAGTCAGTGTATACTATATGGAAAATTGTTCATGATGTATTGATGAATTAAAAGTAATAAATTGCAAAACAATAAACATATGCTTTACAGTCACAATGTAATATAAAATGCTTCTGTGTATAAAATGTATATGATACATATACAGTATACATGTATAAGTGCTTTTAGAGAAAGGGTGCAGGCATATCCACCAAATCACTGGGGATGAGGACGGGACAAGGTTTGAAAAATATGGAGGTACTTTCTCCATGTACCCCTTATCTAGTTCCTTATTGTTTAGCTTCAACCAAACCCTGCTTTTTAATATTTATACTTATTATAAACACACTCACATAAGCCACCCTGATTACATATATAAACATACATGACAACGTAAAATCTCTTTCCTTTTATCTGTGAGAATATCTTCTCATACAGTCCCATAATTTGGAAATTAAGCATAGGTGCCTATTCATTCCAATACTTCCACACGGAGTCTCCTACTAGAAAATCAAATCTTTGATTAAGTACAGAAAAATAAACAGCTGATTATGATTTTTCCCTTACCACGTCTGTGGGGAAAACTTGCTGCAAAGACACTGTTCTCGCCTCAGCTTCATTATTGATAGACACATAAGCAGGCTGGTAGATTGTGAGTGCTTCTACCACGAGAACCTAAAATAAGAACAGATTCTTGTAACACATAGGGATTTAAAACAGGTGATCCCACCTAGTGAGAAAGTGGGAAGACTTATACTCAACCAATACTCATGGAAGACCAACTATGTCAAGCATGACTCCAGCAGCTGGGTATAGCAAGATACACAAGGCCCTGCTGGGGTAGGGTTGTGCTCCAATTGGGCAGATGGAGCAGCAAAGAGATAGGGCTAGCAATCTCATGTCATGTAGTGCTCTGAAGAGAATAATAGAGAAGATACCTTCATAGAGGGTGGCCAAGAAAGGCCTGCCTGAATTGGTGACATGGAAAGAGGAAAGTTACCACTTTTGAGAGAATAAGGAAGCAGACTGGGTGGTCAGCAGGTATCAAGTCTGTATAATTGAAGGGAAATGAAAAGTGAGCGCCATTTCCATCTTTCCAGGTATTATTTGGCTACAAGAGAGAGGTGGAGGAAAAAGAGGGAAAGAGAGAAGATGGCAGGTGGAGAGGTAGAAAAAGAATGAGAGGGAGAAAAGGAATACATCTCCAAAACAAAACAACATGTTTAAGATTGTGAAACCTGAATAGAGCTTACACAAATGTTTGTTATGTTACTGGTTTGTACCTTTCAATTTTCAAATATTTCATAATTAAAAGATTTTAAAATGTACCACCCAGAAGCAAAATAATTAATCATAATCATTTCCAACAACTCCATCTTTTATTAGGTATTTAATGAAATTCTTGAAAAGTACATGTTCACAAAATCTTGTGGTATAAATAAGAAGCACAATTACTGAAGGGCAATATCCAGGACACTTAAGATGTTTATGACTCCTTATAAGATGGTCATAAAACTGAAACAAAAACTCAGTGAGAAGCTAAAAGTAATTCTGCATTTTCAATACAATTTTAAATATTAATTAGTGGCATGGGAGGCAAAGCAATGCTTAATTGGAAACAGCTTTAACTTCCACGTTTTCACCATTAGCACTATATTTTTTTTAGAGAAAGGTTTTTCCACCTTGGCCCTACTGACAATTTGGCCTGGATAATTCTTTATTGCGGGGACTGTATGGTGTGGGATATTTAGCAGCATCCGTGTTCTCTACCCTACTGGCAGCCAGAAGCATTACCTCCTCCCGTTTTGTGCCAAGCAAAGATGTATCTAGTCATTGCCAATGTTCCCTGGGAGACAAAATCACTCTCAACCAAGAGCCGTGATTTGAGAAGATGTGACCATCTTTTCTTCCAGGAGTTGATCTATCACTTGCTGATTCTACACAGGATTGACACTTATTTTAACATTTTAAATTATGGTTTCTGAGAGGATCCAACATGGCTAACTAGAGGAGATGCCCCTTCAGAGATGCTCAGAGAAGATTCACTGAGAACAAAGGCATTCTGTAGTGAAGGAGGGGCTTACACCTTGAAACCAAAAAATAGGAAAGACAATATACACAGAACAAACCAAATTACTGGATAGTTGAAAAGGGGAAGCAGTGCTGCCGTGGCTGGTCTGCTCACCCCCACTTTCTGCTCCTCTGGGGAGCAGCTATCCTGAGAGTGTCATAAACAGCCTGAGGAACCAAACTGGTATTGCAGAGGTCAGTACACAGGTTCCTTCTCCCCAAAACTCCCTGCAAACACTGAGGAAAGCTGCATTCCTGCAGCATCCTCCTCAGTGCTTACTGCAGGCAATGGGTGTCTCCTCTTTGTCATGGCCAGAGAGAGGATAAACAGGCAAATGGCACCCTACCCAACTCTGCTGAGAGTCAGGCCAGCTCACACACTTGCCTGCAGAGTCGCCAGCACAAATACCCAGTCTATCTGGCACCTGCCCTGCGTGCCCACTTGCTGGCTGAGTTATAGGCACATGTGTACCCACAGGCTGAGTCCACTCTGCATCTGTCAGCTTGCCAGCTCACCACAAGTCACTAGAACTCATGACCACCTATGGAGTCCACTTGTGGCCACCTGCAATCAGATTGCAACTAAGACAAAAAGGGAATTATGTGGACAATTTGGCTTTATGGCATAGTGGTCACGAAGGAACTGCATATAGATTCTTTTGTTGGAGTGCTGAAGCTGGGCCCTCCCTCTGCTTAATTTTTGTTACTTTTTGTTTGTTTGTTTGTTTCTTCATTTAGCTGCTGTTTATTTTCTCTCTCTGCTCATCTCCCTACAGTTTTTAACTCTAGCAGCTCTGGCAACACTATTTTCTTACTTTTTTACTTGCTTCTCCCACTTTTCAAATTCTTCCTTTCAAGTTTTTTCCCTATAGTTTACTGTCCCTCAGATATTCCCAAGATACCTCATATATATACATATATATATAATATTTGTATAAACATATATTTAAATATATATGTATTGGGGGGCATTGAGACAGGGTCTCGCTGTATAGTTCAGGCTGGCCTTGGACTCACTATGTAACCCAGGCTGGCCTCAAACTCACAGCAATCCTCCTGCCTTGGCCTCCCGAGTGCTGGGATTATAGGCATGTGCCACCATGCTTAGTTTCCATTATATGTCATTTTAACCTTCTATCCTACCTATTTTCTTTTGCTCTTCCTTATTTTGCCTAGCCCCTTGTATTCCTTAGTCTCTTTTACAATTTATAGGTACATAAATAAGTCAATAGGTTCTGCCAACCTTGCAGCATTCCTTAATCCCTAATTATATGTCCCTTTGCCTCCTCCATCCCACCCCAGCCCTCAAAAGTATCTTCTCCAGACCCTCAACATTAACTTTTCACATGAACTATAAAAGACCTTTAATAGAATCTGACCCCAGATATATTTTTTAAAAAAATTTACCTATTATTATTTGCCCTATTTACCTCTCCTCCTGACTTACATTCCTCTTGCATCCGCTTCACTTCTCCTTCCACATTGCAGATTAACCACTGATAAAATAGTACAGGCAGTAAAAGCTATTGATAAAGGGTAACAGTGTAAATGCAAGGTTTAACTTGTATAAGTGATGTTTGATCAGGTCTGTTGATGCTGCTACAACCAATTGCAATTCCCTTCTCACAACACATTAACAGGATTCAAACCATTTGAATTAAGTAGCAAAGGTGGTGAACAACAACTCTGGAGAAGTAAACTAATGAAAATATCACCAGAAGGAATAATCTAACTAAAAAGATGTTCACATTCACTATAATCTTTCCTCACTCCACATGACCTCAAACCTCAGTGTATGCATGCATGTACAAACACACACACACACACACACACACACACACACACACACAAATATACATACACAGCAACGGGGGGGGGGGAGGCAACAAAAGGCCCCCGAGGTCTCCCAACTGACTCAAGGCAGATCTAGAGGGCACCAATGGAGAGAAAAGCAAACACCAGGTACAGGGATTTATGAATTGACTAAAGAAGGTGTAAAGAAACTTGGTAAGTTCAAAGAACACATGACTCACAGTTCATGGAATTACACAAAATGACCAATGTGGATATGGGATACACAAAGAAAAAACTGAAAGAGCTGCTAAAAACAGTTCAAAACAGGAATGACAAATTTACCAAAGATATAGATTCCATAAAAAGGTATCAAACAGAAATACTGGATATAAAAAAATTGTATAGCATTCATAAATAGTAGAAATGACCGATGTGCAGATAGTGTTCCTGAAATCGAATAGAAAATGGTAATTTTTGACAAATTACTTACAGAAACCTCAAAAATGATAAGACAGCAAGAAAAATTCATCCAATAGTTATTACATGACACCAAGAAGACCAACCTAAGGCTAACTGGAGGTAGAGAGAAACTAGAAGACAGCATACATGGAATAAAAAATTTGTTTACAGAAATCACAATAAAACAACTTCTCAGATATGAGAAAAGAGTTCAGCATACAGGTAAGGGAAGCTTACAGAACACCAACCAACTACAATAAAAAGGAATCTCTCCTCAATGCATTGTAATTAACATTCCGGATGTCTAACAACAACAACAAAAACCCAGAATTTTAAAAGCTGTCAGAAAAAGCAAAAAAAATCATATAAAGGTAAACCCGTAAGAATTACAGCAGACTTCTCTACACAAATTTTAAAGGCCAGGAGAGCCAGGAGTGAAACATTTCAAGACTAAGAAGATTATTACAATCAATGCTCACATTAGTAAAACAGAGTGAGCACAAACAAGTAACCTAAAGATAACCCAGATAGTCAAAGAATAACAACAGTCCAAGCCCAAACTGAATTTCGAGGGAAATCATAAAGATCAGAGTGGAAACTAATGAAATTGAAACAACAACAAAAAACAACACAGAGAATCAATGAATTGAAGAGCTGGTTCTTTGAAAAAATAAACAAAATAGATAAACCCTTAGCCAAACTTACCAAAAGAAAGAGAAGATGCACATCAATGCAATTAGAAATAAAAAAGGCGATATCACGACACCATTGAAATCCAGAGAACAGTAACTACAATGAAAAATTATATTCCAAGAAACTGTAAAATCTAGAAGAAATGGACAGATTCCTAGACTCATGAATTACCAAAACTAAACCAAGGAGACATAAAAATTTTGAATGGTCAAATAACAAGCAATGAAATTGAGGCAATAATAATAATGAACCTACTAACTGAAAAAAAGCCAAAGACTTGATGGCTTCACTGGTGAATTCTACAAAATCCTTAAGGATGTTAGATCACCAGTACTCCTCAATTTCTTCAATAAAACTGAAAGGGAAGAAGTGTTTCCAAACTCATTTCTGGAAGCCAGCATCACTCTGATCCCCAAACCAGACAAGGAGCCAACTAAAAAAACTACAGACCAACCTCACTGAGAAATAAATTGATACCATTCACAACAGCATTAAGAAAAATTAAATAGGAATTAACCGAACCAAGAAAGTGAAAGACCTCTACAAGAAAAACTACATAACTCTGTAAAAGGAGATTGAAAAGGACATCAGAAAATGGAAAGATGTCCTTGTTCCTGGATAGGTAGAACCATTGCTGTCAAAGTGGCCATACTCCCAAAACTAATATATAAATTTAACACTATCCCAATCCAAATACTAACAGCATTCCTCACAGAACTAGAAAAAACAATCCTAAAATTTTTATGGAACTAGAAGAGATTCAGAATATCAAAAGCAATCCTGGGCAACAAGAGCAAAGCAGGAGGCATCCCAACACTTGACTTTACATTATTCTACAGGGCTACAGTGATTTTTTTTTTTAAAGGCATGGTATCAGCACAAAAACAGACACATGGATTGATGGAATAGAGTAGAGAATGCAGAAACATTCCCAGACACATTCAGCTATTTAATCTTCAAGAGAGGGGCCAAAAACATACGTTGGAGGAGCGATGACATATTCAACAAAATGGTGCTGGAAAAACTATTCATATGCAGAAGGTTGAAGCTGGACCCATTATCTCTCACCATGTTCTAAAGTAAAATCAAAATGGATCAAAGTTCTAAACATTAAAACAGAAATGACTTACAGGAAGATAAAGCAGGTAAAATTCTTGAAGTCATAGATATAGGCATAGACTCTCTGGGCAGAACTCCAATTTCACAGCAAGAAGAAAAAAATAGCATTATATCAAAATTAAAAAGCTTCTTCAAAGCAAATAATCAACAGAGTAAAGAGACAACCAATAGAATAGGAAAAACATTTTGCCAGTTACTCCTCAGAGGACTAGTATCTAGAATATATAAAGAACTCAAAATAGTTTAACCACCCAAAGGAAAAGACCCAGTCAAAAAATGGGCAAGGAAAATGAATGGACACTTTTCAGAAGAAGTACAAATGGCCAATAAACATGTGAAAACAGTGCTCAACATCTCTGGCCATTAGAGAATTGCAAATGAAAACAATGGTAAGGTTTTGCCTTATACCAGAAAGCATGGCAACCATCAAGAAATCAAATAATAGCACATGCTGACATAGCTGCAGTGAAAAAAAAAAACTTCCTACACTCTTGGTGGGAATGTAAACTAGTATAATCATTATGGAAATCAATAGATTTCTCAAAGAACAAAAAGTAGCAATTCCGGGGCTGGGGATTTAGCTCAGTGGCAAAAGCGCCTGCCTGGCAAGCGCAAGGTCGTGAGTTCGGTTCCCGGTACCGAAGAAAAAAACAAAAAAAAACAAAAACAAACAAACAAAAAACCAAAAATAGCAATTCCACTTGACCCAGCTTTTTCTAGGTAGGTTTCTAAGAGACCTATAGACATCATATTATAATGAGATATACATATATATAATATATATATGTACATATACATGTTTATAGCAGCATAATTCATAATAGCTAAATCCTGAAGCAGCTTATATGTCCATAATCAGAAGAATGAAGAAAATAGGGTATCTATACATACTAGAATACTACAGTCAGCTATGAAGAAGGATAAATTTGAGACACTGTAGGAAAATGGATACACCTGGAAAATGTTAAGTGAAGTAAATCAGATACGGAAGCTTAGATACTGTATAGTTTCTCTCATTTGAGTAATTTAAAGTTCAAATAAAGAGCAAAATAAAAGACTGATGAGAGGAAACAGGGCAATGGATCTTTTGCAAATGTATAGGGGTCTACCAGACCAAGGGTGAGGAAAGGGAGGGAGGGGAAAGGAATGTAAACAGATTTAAGATGTGTCATATACATGTAGCAAATACTCACAATGAATATAAACATTATATGTCCTAAACATAAACTAAAAGTAATAATGAAAATGGGGAAAGAAGATCTAAAGATGGAGGCAGGGAGGTGGAGGTAAAGGAATAAAAAAGAATCAAGATATGTTATGCACATGTACCGACTTCCTAAGATGAAAGTAAACTTCATGTAGTGTAAAAGTGTAGTAATAAAATAAAGTTTTTAAAAAATTATGCCTGTCTCCCTTTCAGAGTATGCAATCCTTAGATAACACAAATCCTAGTTTTTTTTTTTTGTCTACCTTAATGAAAGTAATTAAGGGCTGGGGACGTACTGCAGTGGTAAGGTGCTTGCCTATGACACATAGGGCCTGGTTTCCATTCCCAGCATGAAAGAGATTAAAGGAAGGAAGTAGGGAGGGTAGGAGAAGAAAAGAAAAGAGAGCAAAGGAAAGAGAGAAAAAAGGGAAAGGGGGAGAAGGAGGGAAAAGGAGGGAGGGAGACGGATTGAGATTTAGCATATCTTACTGGAAATCTGAGTCCATCAGTAACTTCTGTTGTTGCTTCAAAAATTAACTGTAACCAGAAGTTAAGTTGTTCTTGCCTGGATGAATGCTCAATTTCAAAATTCTTAAAGCGCCGCATTAACAACAAGTTCTGAACTAATGATTGCAGGTACCTGGAAAAAAAGGCACAAAAATTCATGAATTCGATTCCTAAAGAAACTCAGTTCAATTCTATCCCCTTTAAAAGAAGACTTTACTTTGAAGTTCCTGTAAGCCTGCCTATGATTTATTTCTTGAGTAGTGTGGGCTCCAAAAGCCGTGTAAATCTACTACAATTTTTATCCTGAGTAGTGTAGGCAGAGCGAATAAACAGAGTCATTAACACCAAAGAGAAAACACAATTATTCAACTATGGGGTGAGTATCCCTAATCCGAGGATCAAAAAACTAAAATACTCCAAAATCAAATACTTTATGAGCATTGTGTTGGCACTCAAAATTTCTGGGTTTTGAAGCATTTCAGATTTGAGGTAGTGATGCTCAACTGCTAAGGTCTATGCTAATATTCAAAAAAATTAAATCAATCAATCAATCCCCAAATCTGAAACACTTCTGGTCCCAAATATTTTAGATAAAAAAATATTCAACTTGTCATCCATAAGCATTTTAGAAAAATTAGAAAATTCACATAAGCGATAAAACAGATTAGAAAATTCTTATCATGCTATTTCTCTGAGATCACCAGTCAATATTTTCGAGAAAATCCCTCATTTATCCTTTAATCATTGTGTAAATATCTACTCAGCATATATTATGACACTGTAGCTATCAGTAAGAAAACCACAATTCTGATAATGGAGTTTTATGTCTACGGGGAAATCAGAAGTGGTCACTATTCCCAGACCTTTTCCCGTAAGTCACACACCAAACACATATCTATAACTAAAATGAGATCATCTAGAAAAGTGGTTCTCAAACTGTGGTTCCCCAAACCTAGCATCAGCATCTTGTCATTTGCAAATACAAATTCTCAAGCTCTATCCTAGACCTACTGAACTAGAAAACCTGAGGGTGGGCCCATTAATCTGTATTTTAACTAGCACAGGTGATTCTGATGCATGATAAAGATTGAGAGCCACTTTAAGGAAAAATGTACCCTGCAACTGGCTTTTTATTCTACAATAAACTATGAACCCACTTCCACGTCTTTAAGTATTCTTGCCTATACACTTAAATGGCTGCATAGTGGCCTAACTTTAGGCTGTTGTTTTGCCTTCCTATTGACCACATTCTATTATTGGTCTTTTCGTTCCAGTATTCATTTATTGTGAACATCATTTTCTTGATGTGCTTTTAAAGTTTTACTATATGTTTTCTCACAAATGCATAATTACATACTAGTACCAAAGAATATTTTGTTCTCAGAACATAGACAACCTGAAGATGTTAATATGGTTGAGAGCCTAATCTCAGGGACAGTATGTAAGGGTTTATTCTGTGTGTTCATATGTCTGTCTCTCCCTTCCTTCACACAAATTCAGTGAGGTCTCAGCTGTTATGTCTTCCCTAACTACTTTAATGAAGAAGTCAGAAGGGGAAACACAGGAGCTGCTATTCTTTTGTGCATTTCCACCTTTCCTCCTTAAGGGAGATATTTCAGAGCAAGGTCAGATATCAAGATGGGTGATGACAAGGCAAAGGTAAGACTTACCAGAGTGGAGGTCTCAGTTTGAACAACTGCTCCGCTGCCTGGACTGCCTTCCCAACATCATCGACCAGCATGGTCATGGTGAAGAACTGACACGCATCCCAGTAATTGTTCATGTACTCCAAGCTCCCTCTTCTTCCCAACAAATTGTTCATCTGGACACCTTTGGAATTTGAATTTTAGAGAGATCATGAAAATCTCTTCTAGTCCCTATCATAATATGCAAGACTTTAGGTAGAGCATAAGCAGGTATTTTATTTTGGCTGCTGTCTTAGGTGTGCTGTCAGAAAATAACTATTTTTTTTGAGATATAGTGCTAGTTATTTGGACACAAATGTTCACAATTTACTCTTGTGGTACTAGGGATTGAACCTAGAGCCTTGTGTATGCTAGGCAAGTGCTCTACCCATGGAACTGTCTCCCCAGCCCAACTGGACACAATGTTTATGCTAAACTTGTGTAACCAAAGCATCACCATCTGCAATAATAACTTTACCTATTTTTCTTAGCTCCATACAAGTTTCAAAGTGTTGTCCAGCAGCTATCAGCAAAATCGAAAGATTGGTTCCCGAATAAAGAGATGGCTGGAGTTCAAATCCTCTGCGATACCTGTTATAAACCCAAATTCTTATTACATTATGTTAGAACAAAAATGACATATGACAGAGCCTCCCACAGGTATGGCAGGAGGAAGGGGTTGGGGCAAAGCAGTTAGATTTAAATGAGAGCAGACAAAAATGCCGAGAGTTCTTCTGATGGAAGGCTGCTGGCTATACCTTCAAAATTTCAGAATCCAATTTCTTACCATTTTCATCTCTACTATGTGGGTTCAAGATACCATCAGTTCTCCCCTACATTATTGCAATAGTCACCTCACTCTTCTCTGCTTCTGTACTTGCCCCTTGCAGTAGACTGTTTAATGATCACAAATTTCACACATCTCAACACAACTTTACCATCCTCCTATACAAAAGTGTGGTGCATTTCTACTCTACACTTTTGATTAGGGCAAGTTGTGTGCTTTGCTTCTATCAATAGCACTTGGCAGCAGTGACTGAACATGAGTTCCCAAACCTAAGTCCCAGGAAGCTCTGCAGCTTTTACCTTCAGTCTCTGAGAATTCTGCCTACCATGTAAGAAACCTGGTCTACCAGGCTTAGAACCACATGGCAGACGAGGGACGTGCTGCACTAACAGTCAACACCAGCTGTGAAATGATATGGGGCCATCTTGGATCTTTTAGTCCTCCCTAACCCTATAGCTGACCGTAGTTTTCAGGTGTGAGCCCAGGTGAAGCCAGTAGTGGAATTATCTAGAAAGCCCACAGAATCATTGCTGTTGTTTGAAGCCATTAACTTTTGAAGTTATTTGTTATACTGAAAGGCAGAGCTGAGACACCTTCTAAAATACATTCTTTGTATAACACAGAATACTCTCGTTAAAATGCGTGTTAGACCTTGTCACTCCTCTGCTCAGAATCCTCCAATGATGTGCCTTCCTGCTCACAGAAAAGAAACCTCATATCCCTATCTTTTCATGCTGCTCTCTTTTGCTTACCCCTCACTATCCTGGAGTATGCCCAGCATGCTTTTCTCTTCAGAGTATTTGCCCTTGCTGCTCTCTCCACTCAGAACACTTTCTCCATATTTTTCTGTGAGGCCCACCCCCGCACCATCATATACTTTTTTGCCTTTACCAACCACCCTATTTAGTAATGCAGACCATCCTCTAAGCCTTCTTTTTCCCCTCCCTGCTTAACTTTTACCCATAGCCCTGACCATCAGATGAAATCATGTAATTTTACTTTGTCTGACTTTCCTCCCCAATAATGCAAGTCTCCAGAGAGCAAGGATTCACATCCGATGTGCCCACATTCCCATCTAGCAAAGTTTCTGATATAAAGTAAGTCCTCAATAAACATTTGTTCAATGAATGAATAAACAAAGAGCATATTCGGAAAATAATGCCCTGATGGAGGTGAACAAAGTTCTGGAACAGCTAAGTGTAAAGAACCATATTAAGCCTTCTCCTGCCTCATAAATTAGTGAATTTATGGGGTGACTGTGACCATCAGAAAACCCTGGTTCTCATAGTTTTCACTCAGATGAGAGAATCTGGAAATTCCCAAGCCACATTTATTGCAAATGTTTTTCACTGCCAGGAGACAGGCACACACGTATGCACATAGGGAAGGACCCTGGACGTTCAGCCTATTCAGTTCTATTCTTTGCAGAGACATATGTGCTATTTACCATGCAATGGCCTTGTCTCGGCTGATATCATCTTCACACTCTGAATCCAAGAACATATCCTTGTAGATCCTCCCACAGAGGCAGAACATGTCAGGGGCTGGGTGCTCACAGCTCTGCAAAACCTGCAGCATGATGTGAAGAGCCTTCTCACGGTCACCTGGGCTGTTTCTCCTGAAAGATACATGTTATACGATCACATCTGGATCACTACTGAGGAGTATATATGCATTTGTTCTTCTGGAAGACTGGGTATGAGGGTGCTGTGCTTTAAAGGAAAAATATTCTAAGTAATATTTCAATTTTTCTTTTCACATATAGCAACTGCCTAAGGTTGACTCCAGTAAGTCTTATACAAGTTCATTCAGTCCTTACTTGATCCTCTCTCCAACAAATAAATCATAAGAAAAGAAAAAATAAGAGGAAACCAATATAATAAAGACAAGTTCAAATCAGCCAAGTACAGCATACAGACTTTGGATCATGCAGATAAACCCACTGTAAAAAAAAAAAAAGAAAAAATTGGGAAAATATGAACATTGCCACTGAGGAATTATTGTTAAATTTCATATATACAATAATGAAGACTTTTTATAAACTGTGCTTAACTTTTATAGATATAAAATGGGTAAAATGTTATGTCTGAGTCATAATAAATCCAGTGTTAGAGCATGAAGGAGTAGGAATAAAGGGGAAAACAAAACTGACCGTGCAATGATAATTATCCACGTGAGTAGGGGAACATGGGGGTTCATTATAGTGGTGGTGAATTGTACGTATCAATTTGACTTGGCTAAAGGAAGCTCAGATAGCTGATAAAAATATTGTATCTAGGTGAGGCTAAAAAGGTGCTCAGGAAGATTAGCATTTGAATCAATAGACTAAAACAACCTGCCTTCACTAGTGGAGGCAGGGTATCATCTGACTCTGCTGAAAGAACAAAAAGGCTGAGGAAGGATAAATCACCCTCCCCTCCTCCTTCCCTCTCCTTTCTCTCTCCCCTCCTCATTCTCATTCTCATTTTTATTCCCATTCATTCACCCTCCCTCTCTCCTTGAGCTGGGACATCCACCTTATGCCCTCAGACACTGACATTCCTGGTTCTCAGGCTTTCGGACTCAGACTTACGCCAGTGGCAGCCCCAGTTCTCAGGTCTTTGGACTCAGACTGAATTATACTACTGGTTCCTCTGGGTCTCCAGCTCCTCCTAGACAGCATATCATGGGACTTCTAGGCCACCATAATCCCATGACCAGTGTTCATAATAAGTCTTACGTATCTATATATTCTATTGGACTGTGTCCATTGAAAACCCTACCTAACACAATTACATTATTCCCTACTTTGGAAGGTATTTGAAATTTTACATAATAAAAACAGAAAATATAAAAGGTACCCATGCTAACTTAATAGTTGTACTTATAGAATCTGAAAATATTTAAAAGATCTGTAAATATTTAGAATTTTTTGCACAAATCTGTCTGCTGTGCCATTGATTATAATAGTAAGGAACTAGAGATGATACAAATGTCCATTAGCAGAAGAAATGGCCATATATATCTTGTAGCAACCCAACTATGGACTACCATGCAACCCTAATAAAGGAGCAGACCCACATGTAATTATATAGGGCTTCTTAAAACTTTGTGGAAAAAACTGCTGAACTAAATGAAAAGTATGATTCTATGCTTTGAAATAAAAACTATCTATATGTATGTTTATGTACCTGAACAAAAGCCTAGAAGGATACACATTAAACTGCTCAGAAAACCATTGCTGGGATTTATAAAGGGTGGTCCTGTGTATACTTTGTTAATAAGTAAATTATCCTTTTAAATTTCTTGGTAATTTTACAACAGTCCCTTTTATGATTTCTTTCCCAAGAGGATCTATGTCATCACAAAAACTACTGAAGTAACCATGAAGCCTGATTAGGACCTAGAATAGTCTTTCTCCACTGGGCTTCTGTAATAGAATTAAACCTTAGAGCAAATTATTTGATTATTTTAATGACTATTTTCTCAGTTCTCTCAAGGATGACTCATGGTTAGCTCCATTCAAGACACAAGAGAGAAATTCATTAATTTCATACAATGGATGCTAAAGGGCATTAGGGTTTTTTCCTCTTGTCAGAACCCAAACTAAGCTGCGAAAGACTAATCTAGACACTTGGTGGTCTTCTGGAAACCTACAAAATTAAGCCTTTATTTTGACTGATTTTTTCCATTTTCTACCTTAGTCTTATTTAATATGTTTGATCTTTTATCTCTTTGTTGTATAGAACCTAATTTAACTGGCCTACAAACCAGATCTCTTTTCTGCACAGAGCACCCATGATATTAATTTTTAAAGAGCCAACAGATACCAATCCAACTCAAATTTACAAAAGCATTATATTACTTCTAATGTCTGTGGTGAGAGTATGAAAAAGATTAAAACTTTAATGAAGTACAAAATTTCCACACCTGTTATTAGCCCGCTTTTGAGGTGTGACATATTCAGGATTGTGCAAAGAATGTGCTTAACTTGCTTAAGTGCTTAATTATTTATCTGAGTTCAGATTGGGTTTTTTCTTATCTTTTCTTTTCTTTTTGAACCAGTTCCATTGAGATTTCCCTTAAAGTTTTTCATTAATTTGATTTGTTTCGTTTTTTTGGTTTTTTTTTCCGGTACCGGGAATCAAACTCATGACCTTGTGCTTGCCAGGCAGGCACTGTGCCGCTGAGCTAAATCCCCAGCCCCTTTTCATTAATTTGAAACTTTCCCATGCTACTCAAAACAAAACGTCTTTTGAGTATAAAGAAAACAAAACAAAAATCAAGCACCTGAAAAAAATGAAAAGCATAGATTTTCAGCTTAAAAGCCTCTTTAAGACAGGTGCTAAATAGCTAATCCCTTTAGTAGTTAATAATCAGCTTTCAGATCTGCTTATCATTTTCAGATCCCAAGGTACCCAAGAACAAACCCACAGATAAAAACTCCTGTGTGTAATCAGTCAGCAACATCTGTTTCTGACAATAAGGTCATTTCACAATGAAGAGAAGAAAATGACAATAGTGGGTCTGAACCTTGGCTACACATTAGAAACACCGCAGGAGATTTAAAAGCCCTGGAACCCAGGGTGCACCCTAGACCAATTAATTCTAAATCTCGGGGGATCAGATCCACACATCTGTGTGTGTTATCATGCACATTCTGATTCAGTAGGTCTGCATCATTGCCAAATCCACCAAGTAGTTCGTAGTTTTTGTCCTATTTGATCTATGTGTGTTTGACTCACATTCACTTTACAACTGTGCACCCCTCACTCCTTGGACTGTCTTCCTCATTTGTTTTGCAGGACACCATACTTGCCTAATTGTCCTCCACCTATAGCTCTACTTTCTGGTTCCTGTTCATCCCTCTGGTCTTTTGACATTAGACTGTCCCCAAGCACAATCTTTGACCTTTCTTCTTTATTAGTAACTACACTAAATCCCTGATAGCATTCTGTGTCATGATTTTTTAAACTATCTGTATTCTTGTGACTCCCAAATTTCTATCTCCAGCCCAGATATATCCCCTAAACACCAGACTTGTATATCCAATTGACTTCTCAGCCTCTCCCCTGCATGTTTAATACCTCAAACTTAACAGATCTAAAGTCAAACACTTATTCCTTTTATCAAACCTATTCTTTTCACACCCTTCCCTGTCTATTCTTCTTGCTAGTTGGGTCAAAAACTTTAGCATCATTCTTATTCCCCTAGTGTCCTTTATTCAATCAGTAAATGCTATTGGATTTTATTTCAAACCATCTTCTAAACTGGTCCACTCCTCATGACTCCCACAGTCACAACCTTCCTCCAAACTGCCACATTTCCCACTTCTATCCTTCTCTGTTTATTATCTATTCTCAACACAGAAGTCAGGATGATCCAGCTACACTGTAAGTCAGGTCATGTCACTAAGAACTCACCAGTGGCTCCCATCTTGGAATACACACTATTTTTTTCAATGGCTTATAAGGTTTTAGAAGATCTCCCCCCCCCATTATTTCAGCCTCAGTGAGCTGTTGGTACCACTGAAAGCTCTAAAAGGTTCACCAACACTGAACTAGACCTTGAAGGATTATCCTAGTCAGGTAAATAATGAGGGAAAGCACATTCTCAGAAGAGCAAACTGCATGCAGTCATCCACAGGTGCAAAGAGTCTGCTGCTCTTCAGATAGGTGACAGATGAGGGTAGTCAGAGAGTGGTGAACCAGGGAAGCAGGATCAGAATAAGGTGAAGCCACATGGAGTCATTTGCTTCCTCTTCTACCATTTCTCACACGCTTCCTTAACCAAGGGATGCTTACACAGAAGAACTCAGAAACTTTTCAAGTTTCACATTTTACTCCAACAAGATTTCCAGAACCCGCTTCCTTCCAAGACACATTCCCCCCAAATATCCAAGGAGTGGCTTGGGCCCTCCTCGTACCCCTAAATGCACAAGGAAACCAACACATGGAGAGCTGGTTCCTCCATGTTTGAGGCCTTCTTTCTGAACTCTTGTCCAATTAAGGGGCTAGCCGCTGGGTACAACTTCCTTTCATCTTATTCACTGGACAACTACTCTCAAAAGTACAAAAAATAGCATTGTTGTTAATATTCAGTGTATGTCACCTGAGATCATTGTATGAAACCTACTTTAATGCCTTACCGAAAGAGTGAGATTTCAATGTCAACAAACAGCCAGCTGCAGCACGTGTGCCTTTCACCACCACTGTCCTAGAGGAAAGCAACTAAAAGTATTGGAGTAGAGTTTACTTTCCCTGGAATGGTGATAGAATTGAGCTTACATCCCAAATAGGACTGAGTCTGCTGACAGGATACAGGATTCACTACAAAGGAAAGGTCTCAAAAATCTATCTATAATCAATTAACTAATAAAATACTGCTCCTAGTTACAGATTCACAGAATATCCGAAAAGAGAGTAATATTCAAGATCAGCTGATCCAAGGCTATGGGGTTCAGAAAAGCTTGGTGACCTGCTTATGGCCAAGTCCATGTAGGTAGTGGTAGAGTTGAGACTTGGTTTAGGTTGATCTCCCATAACCTTTAGTAACTTCCTAGTGCCCACAGAACAAAATCCAAACTCCTTAGCTTACCAATCAAGGTTCTCAATCACTGAAGTTAACCTCGTTTCATCA